CCCCGTCCTATACTAAGCGGCGTCCCCCAAGGGTCACTTTTAGGCCCAATTTTGTTCAACATTTTCATAAATGACATACCAAAATCACCTAGTATCACTCTTGCACTTTATGCAGATGATACGGCCATCCTAGCCCAACACAAACGCCTTGAAAACTTGGTCCAAACAATTCAGAGATACTCTCTAAGCCTTGAGCACTGGCTCATCACTTGGAAAATAAAAATTAATGTTGCTAAATGTGCTGCTATGATCTTCAAACGTAGCCCCCTCCCGTACCCTCCATTAACGTTAAATTCTTTGACGACTATGTTCCCTGGTCAAACTCTTACAAGTACCTAGGAGTTGTACTTGATTCAAAATTACTCTGGCGCCTTCACATTGAAAATGTTCTCAACAAAGCGAAAGGTGCTAGAGCCCAACTTTACCCCTTTTTAGCTCGAAAAGAGCCATCTGTCAATTAAAAACAAAATTCTTCTCTATACATCCAATTATAAGACCTGTCTTTATGTATGCATGTACAATCTGGGGTACTGCTGCAAAAACTCATGTGAAAAACTTCAATCTTTTCAAAGTAAAAAACCTTACGTATGGCCCTAAACGCAGCTGGGTACGTCGTACAGATGTGATTCATTCGGACCTTAACATTAAACCTGTTGATTATCTTATCAAAAAACATAGTCAAAATTTATTCCTTAAAATTGAACAGATTGATAACCGAGCACTTCAACAGATGCCAGCATACGATCCTGCTATTCGCAGCTCACAGAAGAGACCGAGAGCCGTGATTGGCCGAGAGTTCGGTATCTATCCACCATCTAAAAGGGCGAGACACGCCCTCTCAACTTCAGTTCCAGCCCCCGCGCCATGAAGGATGGACGTCTCTTCAGCGAGCTGCCATATAATTGCTTATTTCATCTTTTCCAACAGCAATCAAGATCTTCAAGCAAAGTTATCAATCTGTTTACTTAAGAATCACATCTCCCGCAGATTTTAAATCTGCCTAAGAATATTTTCCTCGCGATCCCAATAATTATTTGCACTCTCCAACACAAGCCACATGCCAATGAGCCTATTAATCGTAAACTCTTTCCTATCCGCTTTTTGCTTTAGTGTTTGTACTGTGTATAAAAAATTATAAAAACCAAAAAAAAAGTATAAAATACAAAAAAATTATAAAAACCCAAAAAAAAAAAAAAAAAAAAAAAAAAAAAAAAAAAGTATAAATATAAAATACGAAAAAAATTATAAAAACCTAAAACTTATAAAAAAAATTATGATACTTAATTTTTTATATTCTCATCTCTATCCCTAAACTTTCTCGAGCCTGTGGCTCCCTCTATTGAGCATCAAGTAAATCACTTATGCCAAATTTTTCCAATTTCTGCTCACTTTTAGTAATTCTGATGTGGAGGTAAATGGTTTTGAACCATGGGCACTCCGAAATTTGCAAATCATTGGCATTGGCAGTGTTGTATCCCAGTATCCTTCGCACTGCTTTAGCGCAACTGCCGAGAGGGGAAAAAGTAATTGATGCGTCAACTCGGTTTTTAGGAGCCATAGTAGCAAGTACCTGGAGTACAAAAAAATAAATTCGTAATTAAGGTTAAGTTATAATATGGAAAAAAAAAGCGTGATTCGTTTACTTATAGCGTGGTTTGGCAACACTGAGTGAGTGGGGTTGAAGGTAACATTTCATTACCACGTTATCACGATGAGGATAGCACAGTATTTTGTTTTCATTTTGTCTTTCATCTTCGATAACGTTGATAAACATCGCCGGAGTTTACTGCTGAGTTAAACTCAAGGTAGTTGACAAAGATGGAAATAGAGAAGTGGGCCGTTATTGGTTTAATCCTAGTATTCGGTGCACACGGGATTTGGCTACTTTTGGCGACTTTATGATAGTAAGCTGTAAAAACGGGACATATACGATGAGTAGTTAAGAGGTCATTCAAAGAATATATATCGTTAAACATAGTATATACCATGTATATAGTGATACTATATAGTGTATAGTACATATACATATGACGTTCTTATATATAGAAAGTCTTTGGATCATTTTGGTGTTGGCGATAATTTTCAAAGTCGCGCCAAGGCTGCACCGTATACTAGGATTTTACCCCGTTATTTTGAAGTGGACGAGAAAGCAGTGAGAAATTGGTGCAAACAAAGGACGTGTTTAAAAAGCATGGGAATATTGCCGTATTAAAATAATTTTGGACGTATAGTCCGCGGACTATCCGGTGGTGCGGACTAGCTGACGATTTTTGAAATTTTTTTATATAAAATCGTTCTGCGTACTATACGATGGTGCGGACTTTACATGCGAAATTACGTTAATTTAATTTATTTTATGTGCAGAGTTGCAAACATTTTGTTCTTCAATTTGGGAAGGGACCCTGAGTGTGATATCGAACTTTAAATTATCTTACCAAATTTTTTATTTAACAAACATTCTCTTTTCATAAAAAGCAAATTAAAAGTTAATGAAATTTAATTGCAAACAAATAAATGATTAATTATGGCTGCGAACTAATCTACAATATCATTTAAATTCTGAGAAAATATGTAAATCAAGTGCAAGCATCAAAATCCATGAACAAATATATAATTCCAAAAAATTTTTTAATCCTAAAAATTTTAACATTTTTTAAAAAATGCATAAATGAACAATTGTTGAGCAGGCAGGAGACAGACTTATCAAGGGGAATTTGCCTCCAAACCTATCTCTTCAGTTATTCAATTAGTGTTTCATAACCCATGTAGGCAAGGGTAAAAGCAAAATTCAAAACCAAAAGCAAAACCAAATGCTGTGAATTACTAAAAAGAAATTTAAACAATAGGAATTTTGAGAAATTAGCAAGTAAATGACTAGAATTAAAATAAAAAAAAAGGTCAATTAAAAGTAGAAAACCAACATAATTTAGAAACTCATGCGTACAGAAAACTTTCCTTACATGAATATACATATAAATTAAAAAGAAACAAGATACTATCTATAAAAAATACATATAATACTAAAAAAATAAAAACAAAACTAAAACTAAAAATAAAATAAAAAGTAAAAAGTAAAATAAATAATAAACTAAAAACTAAAAAGTTATTATTTTATAATATATTTAAATATATTTTAATAATTTAAATTAAAAGTTTATTATTTTAATATAAACTAAAAAGAAAATAAAACAAAACTATTTTATTGTTTTAGTATTATATGTTATTTTTATAGATGGTATCTAGTTTCTTTTTGATTTATATGTATATTTGTGTAGGGAAAGTTTTCTGTAGGCAAGAGTTTTTAAATTACTTTGGTTTTCTATTCTTAATTGACTTTTTTTTATTTTAATTCTAGTAATTTACTTGCTAATTTCTCAAAATTCCACTTGTTTAAATATCTTTTTAGTAATTCACAGCATTTGGTTTTGTTTTTACCATTGCCTACATGGATTACAAAACATGAATTGAATAATTGAAGAGATAGGTTTGGAGGCAACATCTCCTTGATAAGTCTGTCTCCTGCCTGTTTAACAATTATTCACTTTAAAATTTTTTAATTTTTTAGGATTAAACTTTTTTTTGAATTATATATTTGTTCATGGATTTTTATACTTGCACTTGATTTACATATGCTGTCATAATTTAAATGATAATGTAGATTAGTTTGCAGCAATAATTAATCACTTATTTGTTTGCAGTTAAATTTCATTAACTTTTAATATTTCTTTTTACGCATAGAAAATGTTTGTTAAATTCAAATTTCATTCCTTGCAGCGATGGTGCAAGAGAATTATATTTAAATTTAATTTAACTTTACTATTTATTCTTTTGAAACAATTTTACTTAATTTCTTTATATGGCAGTTGCATTTTTGTATTCATATTTTATAATGATTATAAAATTTTTATGAATATAAGCACAGGAACTGAAAGGATATTAAGTTAAAATTTTGTCCTTTTTGCAAATTTTCTTTTAAATTTAAAAATGCAAAAATATGAGTATTTATCTTATTTAAAACATTTTTGTAATTTAAATGTTTATGACTAGTGGATGTGGAAATAAAAACCAGGTAAGGACTTTTGTGGATACAGTGTTGTGTGATAATTTATATTTCAGGATATTAACATTTTGTAGCATTTTTTAGTTCAAAAATATACATTAAATTGCATCTTAAAATAAAAGGCCTATGAAAAGAGTAGATATGATAGAAGTATGAAAGATGGCTTGATAATTTTTTATCCATAATTTTCTGATAATTTTTACTCATATTTTTCTGAGTGAGTCAGAAATATGTTAGTATGCTGAAATTTATATTTGAATATTATTGTGGAAAGGAATGCTAAATGGCATATTAAATGTGAAATTTCATTTTCAAACTTCAAATTTATTTTTGTCTATCAAATCAGTCACATACATCAACATATATAATTAACTAAGATGTATGAAGATGCTACAGCAAGTAAGGAGCAGCATGATCATCTGCAGTTTGCCTGTGCTTCAGTTGATCATTTCTTAAAAAGACCTAGCCAGTGAGTGATCTAGCTAATAACTAATCATTACCCAGAATTATCTTGTAAATAATGTTGCTAATAACTATCATTGCATAAAGTTATTGCGAGACTGGTTTGAGATGATTTTAGTGTAGCATTGTTACCATCAATTATGCAAAGGAAACATAAATTACTGCTTAAATGCAAAACATCTAAAAAGGAAGGAACCTAAAATGACTTGCTATTGATGTAGTAACCTTGGTACGGATATGAAGCATTTGAAACATTGAACAGTTTGAAGCTGTAAATGGAGCCTAGGTGGTATTGTTATATATAGTGTTCTTCAATTTGATTTCCTAGTGGCACTAGTTTATTTTCCCTAGCATCGTGCTGCCATCACACAATGGAAATCATATTTCTGACCCACTCTGTACTAGGAAAACAGCAAAATGGTTATTTATTTTATATTTTTAAAAATTGTAATTAAAATTTGGTTTCTTTTCTTTAAAGGCTCAAGCTCAGCTCCTAAAAAACTGTTTAATATCATTGAAAGAAGAAAATAATGTATAGACAGGAACATTTTTCACTAAGTTGAACACAAGCTGTGCTTAAGTACTCAACAGTGCTTTTGTATCAAGCTATTGATCTTCCCTGGTTCTTTTGCCGTCCCAGGATGTGAAAATCTTCTCAGAAGGATTCACTGACCGGGTACTTGAACAGCCAGTTGTGATTGATGAACTGATTTTCAAAATAAATTTTTATAAGAATTATATATGAATTATTCTATATATTTGTTATTTAATTTTAGTAATATGAAAAATATGCAGATATATGGCATGCATGAACATGCACATTGAAACTGTCTCAAGTACATTTTAAATATAAAAAAAAACATTCCACAGTTTTGATGTTACCATGTAAAGAAATTTTAAGGTACAGTTATTTTTCTCCCTTTGTGCATATATCAAAGTATTACAATTTCATTTTAATACATAAAGAATAGTATGAATAATATTAGTTATCTTCGGCAACTGATTAAGAATTCTGCAATTTTTTATTGTGCTTATATATAATAATATTTGAATTATTGTTAACACTTTGTAATTTTAAAGAAATGATTTATTTTTATGATTACAATATTATGTATCCATGTAATTTATTTTGGAATTTTGCATTTCTTCAGCTGTTTGCCTTAGATATCTTGATTATTGGAGTTGGTTGACTGTTTAAAAAATACATGTGAATAAAGTTATTTTCTTCAGAAAATTGTGCCAATACTAATTTTCCGTTTGTTTTGATCATTACACTATTAAGTCTTAATTGGTATTTTATCAGTTTGTTTCCTTCAGTGATTAACAATTTTTGTGTATGATTTTTAGAATTGTAATGGTGCTAAAGTTTCAAAATATGTTATTCTAAAGGTTCTTAATTTTTTTAATAATATTTCAGCTGTGAAATTCATTTTTATATTTATCTTTGATATATTGAGATAATTCATGACCTTTGTTCAAAAAGCTTCCTGTATTGTAAATTGGATTGTTACATATTACTTGTTGTCTGAAAGAAATGTGAAGATGTTTGAAATGCATTTTTTTCCCAATAAATATGTTCTGAGTTGGTGTTGATTGTTTTTCTTTATTTATATTCAAAATAAATCATAAAATTTCTAGGTGGTATTTCTGAATTCCTGCTTGGCATACATTGAATAAAAATATTTCTGTGTGTGTATTGAGAATACGGCAAAGCACACTAGGGCTATCTGCCTAAGGGGAGGGATGCCTTTGTGAAGGACTTTCTAAGGGGAACTGGCTCGTATACACGTTACACATGGGGAAAACCACGAAAACCGCCCATGCAGCCAGCCCGTTCGCGGGATTCGAACCTCGGACCGAACTACCAGTGTTCAGCGATTTTACCGCTCGGCCGCTGGTGGGCCGATATTTCTGTGTGAAGAGGAAAAGGTGTGTCTTGATTTTTTTTGTATAATAATCTGAAGGACAACAATTTATTAAAATTGTTATTTTTGAAAAAAAAAACCTTTGATACCTTATTAAATGTAACACACTAAATCGTCACCTGCATTTCGTTATGTCGCTAATACAGAGGTTATGAGCTCTTAACAATGAGAAGGGCTAGAGAAATGCAATCCTTATCTCAATAAAGGACTTTATAGCCTCTACACTTCCATAGCTCGGATTGTGTGTAATTAGACCAGCAATACAATGACTACAAAACTGCATAAGCATACTCTAGACGTGGCTGACAAAATGGAAGATCAAAATTACTGTTGATAAGACTCAAGCAATCCTTTTTACCAAGAAGAACAAATTCAATAAAAACCTGTAACTTTATGAAGAAGATATCCCATGGGCCAAGCAAGTCCTTTATCTTGGGGTGATCCTCAGTAAAACTCTCATGGTACCCACACATAACATCTATCCTTAAAATGTTTCGAGTTAGTAAAGCTACACTTCACCCCTTAATTTCTCGAAACAGCGTACTTTCAATAGATAACAAGTCCCATGCTATGTTATGCCTGCGTGGTTTTGGCATATTAATGCAAATCATATATCATATAGGAAAAAGTTACAGGAGGCACAAAATTGTGTCCTAATATAGATCAGCAACTCACCCTGGTACGTTCGAAATCAAAAACTTCATATGAATTTGGCATGGAAGAACTGAAATGTTTTTATTGCCGGCTTGCTCGGAATTTTTATGCTAACCTCGCAAGTATCAACAACCCTGCTATAAGGGTCTACGATTATGATGTAAATGACCCAAATAATTGTAAATGGCCTATGGCCATACTTAGTACTCGTACTGTTTAATTTGACTTACTTTACTTTACCTGTACATTATGACTTATGCTGTGATTTAAGTACACCAGTTGACTCACTATCTGTATTGTATGTATGTATTACGGGTATATATCTCTAGACTCACAGGTTAAAGCTAACTCTTTTCCCCTTTCCTCAGCTCTCACCAGATGGCATTTTTAGGTCTTTATTGGAATTCGGCGCACACTTTATTTCTGCTAGAATATCTTATTATCCTATTGCTCAAAATTATGATCATAATTTATTAAAAAAAGTATTATATCTTATGTTAGTTACTCATGACAGCATTTGAAACAACCTACATGTTCAACAAGGGTAGGATCCTTGACTCAAGCACCCTGGTATTGCACCGCTTCTAAGTGCGACTGTGTGTAATCCAAAGTACACAGAATATTCATCAATAATATGGGGGCTTGTGAAAACAAAGGGAGTGGTACATTATTTCAATAAACAAGCATGCACCTATGTATTACACTTATTCAGTGCTTAAAATCCGAAATTAGATGTGGCAAAGCCATATGAAAGGCACGAGGATAATTGAAGTAAGTATTTAAAATTGAATAGAATGTAAAATTATAAATATTTAAAAAATAGGTTAATGGCAAATATTTAAATTAAAAAACCTCGGTCAGAATTGCGAATTTGTTCAAAATATTGATATGTATGGCAATTGTTAAAAATCGTTTTATTATTTCAAATTGTAATGTTTAACTTTTAGGATTTGGCAACAAGTCCACGATATATTCATAAAAGAAAATGTAAGTCAAATTTAAGTAAGCTCTTCTAAACGTATTTCACTTTTACTGCTGTACGTTAACTTCCGAAATTAAATATATTTAAGTTATTGGATCATGTTAAATATTGTATATTGATATTTAATAGCAAATGTGCTCTGTTTAAAGTTCCTGCATTTATTTACTTTATGTGAAGAGGTTTTATAGAAGGGATTTGAATTAAAAATATATGCGGATGTTTTTATGTAATCATAATATTGCTTAATCGTTCACAAATAATAATTCATCCTTTCACGACAGTCAAGACAAAGAACTTTCTTTGGTCAAGGTCTTCCGGAGATAAGGCATTCAATACCTCGTTAAATGTTGAGTCCCTAGAATGTTCCTTAAACTTTATTCATTCAAAATTTCTTTCGCGCTGATAACCCTACTTGTCAGTTAAGTTGTTGAAAATCTGATATCAGAAGAAACACTACTTTATCATTCCAGTCCGTAGGTAAAGATATGTAAATATTTAAGAAACCTCTAAACACTGTAGAATGTAAATATTAATATCCAAGTTTTCTCATGTCCTTTTTTTACATGTTCATTAAAGTTAATTCTCATTACTCGTTACAGTAGTTTATATGGCTAGTATTCTAATTTAAAAAAAAGGATATATCATATAATCAAATCAAAGGCGCAGTAAACTTCGTGTCACGTGATTGGATGACAGTACAATGATTTGGAAATTAAGCGAGCTGTTAACGTTTCCCAGGTGACGCAGAATTTTTTTATTAAGAACATTGATCGTCATACGTAGATGTATGAACCATGAACTTTTTTTAAATTGAAGGCAGCGTTTTAAGACGCGACAGTTTTTCGTTTGTACTTTGAACATGAATGAAACTCTTTGAAGCCAGAGCAACGTCCAATTTGTTGCAGAGCAAGTTGTGGGAAAAATTGGTGTAACTGCAGTGGATTGATCAAGCTACATATTCTTTGGCTGTACTGCATTTGTTGTTTGTTAGTATGGCGTTTGAAGTTTAATATCAATCAGATGATGACTTCTCTTGACGTTCCTGTACGAAATTCTGGTAAATCACAAGAAAGTGAAGCAGAAGTACAGGATGAATTTACATCTTTACTTCAAGGCAACAAGAATCGAGATATTTCAAATACTAATTATGGTGGTATTGCCTCATCATCATTCGACGAACAGGCAGATGTCTTTGTAAATCAAGAATATGTAATGACCACCCGTGAACAACATGGATGTTCTAGTGAAATTTTAAAAAGAAGGTTGAAGTATTTTTTTATGAATCCTATTGATAAATGGCGAACGAAAGGAAAATTTCCTTGGAAATTATTGTTGCAAATTGTGAAAATTGTTTTTGTGACTTTGCAGTTATGTGTTTTTGGTACTGACGGATATATTTATGAACTTCAGAAGCAGCATACAGCATCAAGTTTTCGGCATATTTTTTTGCTTGGCTGGACTCCTTTACGTGATGTTGTTTCTTACCCCCCATCCACCGGTCCGTATGCTGTTTATACTAAACCCGAGTTCTTTCAGAATATTGACAATGTTATAAAGACATATGCTAACATAACAAACCTTGCTCTTGGTACTTATTGCTACGACGGACCGAACTGTACAATGACTAATATTTCATTTTGTCGAAAAGAATTTAAAACTATGATGGCATTTAACTCATCTGTTACTTTTGATGGACGACCACAGACAATTTGCCATGCAATTCCAGATTTATATCCCGATGATCCATCTATGTGGTCATCATTTTCCATCGAAAAATACTTAATAACTGTAAATGATTCAGTGTCATTTGATCGACTTATATCTGCCCAATTAACGTTTGTTTTGAAAACCATATTTTTAAAATCTCTTGGTAATAATAAGTATCCCGATTGTTACAGTTTTAAAATTATAATAACTTATAATAATGGGCATGACGGTCAAATGATTGTGACTTTAGATACTCGTACAGAAAAATTGCATTGTTATCATAATGGTGTTATTAATCCTAGTGATCTTTCTGGTTATATTAGTCGCCAAATTCTGAATTGTTTTAATATTTCTGTGAGTGTTTTATCAATATTGCTGTGCTGCCGTTGTCTTGCTAAAGCACGTATATTGTGTGAAGAAACTGATAAATATTTTAAGCTAACTAAGAATAAAGCGTTAACTGCACCAGAAAAAATGGAATTTCTTGATATGTGGTATGTAGTAATAATCATAAATGACATGCTAATAATTTCTGGATCAGTTTTAAAAGCTGCGATTGAACAAAGGTCTGTAGAAAGTGATCAATATGCCACTTGTGCTATTCTTTTGGGTAGTGCAAATTTATTGGTATGGTCTGGTGTCTTACGATACTTAGGGTTTTTCAGTAAATACAATATTCTTATTTTGACTTTAAAGCGAGCCATTCCTAATGTGTTGCGATTCACTTTATGTTGCATTCTTTTGTATGCAGGCTTCTGCTTTTGTGGTTGGGTTGTTCTTGGTCCATATCACATAAAATTCCGTAGTCTTAGTAGTACTTCAGAGTGTTTATTTGCTATGATGAATGGTGATGATCTTTTTGCAACTTTTGCCATCACAAATACAAATAATGATCTTATTTGGTGGTTTAGTAGAATTTATTTATACTTCTTTATCAGCATGTTTATATATGTTGTGATATCTTTATTTATATCTGTGATAATGGATGCTTATGAAACTGTGAAAAATTATTCCTTGCACGGAACATTATCACGAATCCAAATGTTAATTGCCGATTATCCTGATGATTCTTGCTCATCATTTTATCAGCAAAGACGACGAGAACAGAGGACGTTGTGGGGAAAATTTTCCAAGATGATCTTCAGGAACTGAAACAGTATATCAAAGCTTCATAATACAGATATCTTAACAAAATGCATGACATGCATGTTCACCTTTATTAATGAATGTGAAGGCACATGCTGACATGTTTCTTCTTTGAAGCTAATTGTTTTATAGCTAAATAGTGAAGTTAATGTATGTATATTTAAAAATAATTTTCTGGTGATTTATTTATTACATCAATGGCATAATGTAGATTTGCATGCTAAATGAAATATTCCCAACATAATCAAGTATTATTTATAGTTGATAATTTTTATGGTAATGCATTTCTTATGGTTGAAACAAATTTTTCTACTTGTGTACAAAAATAATTTGTGATAAATAATTGTTTTGTGTAGTTGTCTTTAAAATAAGGTATGTAAAATATGCACTTGGTAAATAGATCTATAATTTTTCCTAAGTACACAAATTTATCATAAAAGAATTAGTATATTAAAAAGCATTGACTGAAAGATAATAGTGAATTTTTAAAAATGTTTTATGAGCCAAAAACAAATATTTGCATGTGGTAGAACTTTGATTACTTGAATCTTTGAGGTACTAAAATTTATTGAAATTTTATATTGAACTTTTTTGACAGTCTGAATTATTTAATAAGCAATATGATAAGTGAAATTAATATTTGATGTCTATTTCTTCAAATAATGCTGAAAATTTTAACTAAAATTAATGTCTGCTGCTGCCATCATATAAAATCAAAACTTTACTGTTGAAGTAGAATTAAAAGAGAAAATTAAATCCAGTTTTAAAAGCTTCTGTGCTTGTTTATTTCTTTTTTGAGCATAAACTAGTTTAAAAGGAGGAATATTAAAATATATTATCATTTAAATAAAATTAAAAAAGGAAATATGTAGAGAAAATAAATCCAATGTCACACACATCATGTAAGTAAAAATGCAGCTTAAGTTTATGCAGAGGTTAATATTTTTATTGAGTTATTATCTAGTTTGCTGATTATTGCATCTGTGTTTATTGGATAAGCAGGCACTTTCTTATGTAGGTAAGCAAAGTGTTTTATTAAATAAAAGATTTTATTAATTATCAGTCAGCAACCTGCCTATGTCTTTTAAATATTTATTTGTGACAAGTAGCATTTTATCACTAATCAAAAACAATAACACCTCTTCAGGTTAAAAATTGTTGGTCATCTCCACCCCCCCCCCCCCCCCCCCCCCCCCCCCCGATGTTTCCAAAGCAAAGTAGTCAAAATTTGTGAAATGACTTTTACCTTAGGGCCCCCATAATTATTATATATTTTCGGGACCTCAAATTTTTTTCTAATTGACCAAAATTAAAAATTTTACCTTCTTGAAGAAGTCTTGGTATTTTTTTTTTCTTCAGAATAAAGCAAAACTGAGCTGTTTCACATCTTTCATTCTTGTTCTATGTTTTAAATCATTGTATTATATTGTTTACAGTTAATGTTTTCACATATTGTTAAATATAAAAAAGTCATATTATGAATTTTCATATTTATATGGATGTATGCCATCTTATACTCCATCAAAAACCATGTGATTTTTTTGTCATTATCACATTCTGTAACATTTTCTGATGTAAATATGCAATTAAAATTAATTTCTTGATTTTAATTATATTTCAGTATTTATCATGCTTTTTAAATATATATTATATCTGCTTAAGGTAAAATTCTGTTATCGGGACTAGGTTCAGAAAGGTATGTATGTAAGTATGTATCTGTACACATGTATGCACGTACATACAAACACACATTCATACATTTCTGAATTCGGTCCTAATAACATAACAGTATCCTGCTTAGAACTCTAGTTTGCATTTTGGCACAATTTGTTAAAAGTCTCTTTAACTAGGATTTTCATATCTTTTCAGTTTCAGCTTTAAAGTTTTATATATGAATTTAAAAGTGGTTTCTAGAAGACGCTATACTTAAAGCAACACGTAATGCATATTTTTTTTTGTTTAATATAAAACTTAAGGAACAAATGAAAAATGGTAATTTTAAATTTAACCTGTAACATGGAAGCAGTTTGCAAGACATTCTAAGTTAGTGTACTTTGTCTTATATTTAGCTACTGTAGCTCTGTGTTTAAAAAATAAAAGTTGATGAGGTATAAAGTGTAATTAGTTCAGATGTGATAAACTATGTATTTAATAGAAAATTAGGATTTTAGCAGCAGCTATGTTCAAATTTTTTTTTTTTTGAAATGAGTTAAGTGTAAAGTATGTGTAATGTAATCAGATGTTAAGGTATATATGTAAATAATTTTATTGATATGTATTATTTTATTATAGTATAAATACTGTAATATTTTATGTTTCTTATAAGAATAAATGTCTGCATGGAAAAAGTACTGGTCTGTAAATTCAACTATTAAGTAAAATATTGGATAAATAAATTAATCATTTAAATTTCAAAACTCGTACATTTAGTAAATGTAATGTGTTATGCATCTGTGTCCCGTTAAAAGAAATGCACTGTAATTTAAAAATAGCATATAAAACAACAACTCTCATTCCTTAAATATAAATAATATTTATATAGATATAAAACTGGTATATATGGTTACTAAATAAATGTATTAAATACAGATGTTTGACAGTAAAGTAATATGATTTGATTTATTTCATCTCCATATTGTGATTTATTAGTATAAATATATTACATCAGTTCCTCTTAGAAACTAGTGTAATAATTGTAATTGTTACGTCACAAGCATGATAGCAGGAGATTTTTGGTTATATACGGTTACGAAGAAGCACTGAAGAGTGTGGCTTGCAATGAAAGAAGAGAGTGAGAGAGGCTATGAATTATACTGCCTGTTTGGAACACTGAGTGAACTTCAATTCCCTCTGTAAGTAGCTGTTATGAGGAATGTAAAGCTGGAAGAGAAGTGTAGCCTAGTGTCTTCAAGCAGAAATAAAAGAACTATAGTTCATCTCAATGCGTTGTAATTTCATTTTTTTAACGCCAGTAATTATGGTATGATTTATTTATGATCTGTATAAACATTGCAAATCTTGATCATATAGAAATCTAAAATTTTAAAACATAGGGTGAAATGACTTTTTGTATATTTAAAACTCAAAAACCTTTAAAAAGGAAATTATAAGTTGACAAAGTTAAGTTTAAAAAGGAATTTATTTTAGAAAAGTTAAACTAAAAATGAAAATTGTATATCAATTTCTTTGATTATAAGGCGCACTTTTTTTTCCATTCTGAAAAGAAAGTGAATCTTGGAATCAATGGCATATGGACTATAACAGATTTTCTTGTTATTTCACACACCTGTCATTTTGCTTTGAAAGATGTTCATATGTGGTGTAAAAAAAATACACAACTCCTTCAAAACAAAACAACAAAAAACTTCAACAAAAAAAATACACAACTACTTCTATTCAAATGAAGACAATCTTCAGAAATACAAATTATTTCAAAATGGTGCTTTAAATTTGTAATCAATGCATAATGATTTTGAAAAATATTTTTTCAAGTGTTGTCTGGTAAATTTCATATAGTTTTTAGTTTTCTGCTCGGAAAAACTCCATTTCATCTATCCCCTTTTTTTGAAAATGTTATAACTTATCATCTTTCAGTGTTGTGTTCAGTTCCGTACAGTGTTGCCATTGCTCGCTTTGAAATTGTTGAGTTTCTTAATCAAAAAGTCATTAAAGTGTTAAAAAATATAAAATCGATAATAAAACAAATTCCAAATTAGGGCTTCCAGATGCCCATATTTGCTGAAGGATTATGTTATTCAAAATTGGATGGCTCTAAGTAACATTTTATCACAAGGAGAAACATACATTTCTGCAGATTCATTATTTAATTTCATTAAATATAACACAGGGCGATAATATTTGGTGGCAGCAATTTGAAAAGTGAAATGGACACTAAAGTTTTTGATGCAAAATGTCAAAACAAAATTAATAGCCCTTTGGGGTAAAAAAGAAATTGATGGCAGCTGGCATGTCTTTCCATATTAAGGAAAAAAAGTGTTCTAAATCTTTTGTAACTAAAATGCTTTAATGATATTATTTTGTTTTCGAGAGAGATGATCTACCCTTTTTAATCTGATAACAGATGTGGTCCAAAGTTTCTGAATTAATTATTTATGACATTTCAATTGAAAATTAAATGGATACACAAGGAAATGGCTTTTTAACATTAATACATATTACATTCAACTAATGTAACTTTTGATCTAATGGTTTATAAGAAAATCCCAACCAGTCTTCCATTTCACACAATAATCATTTGCTTTAGAATTCATTTTCATCAGTTCATAGAAAGTCATTAAAATATCAGTAAAATGTATTAGAATCTATGAATATAGGTATAATTATGCAGTATATTCACTCTTAAGTGTTCTGCAAAATTTATTAAAACATAAGATGCATACATGTTTTATTGCAAACACTTTTCTTTTATATTAAATGAAAAAACATCTAGTCATAGTTCTGTAGCGGAAATTTATTTCTACAGATGCAAAGAAATTTTTAACTGTCATCTAGTAGCAGAAATTTATTTCTACAGATGCAAAATTTTTTTCCTAATTATGCTGCTTTATTCAAATAACACACAAAATAGTACTATAAGAGTTTGATAAAATATTCATTATTTAAAGCACATTAATGTAATGAAATTAGACTAATACATTACTGTTGTTGCATTTATCTCTATGAAATTGATGTCATGATCCGGTATATGTAGTGGGAAAGAATTTGTTGACAGGGTCCAAAGTATAAAACTGTTATCAAACTACAAAAGAGTTTGTGAATTACATTTTATCATTAAAATGTTGCTTCATTGTAGTACTTTTGTCTACAAGTCAATTGTGTTATTCCTTATAAAGCATCAAGTGCATTTCTGTTATACATATAAATAATTAGATAACATGCTTACAAAAGTAGAGTAAGAGAAACATATTTTAAAATATGAACATGTAGTTCAAAGTACAGTATAATTTGAAGAATGATGTTTGTTAAGAGGGAATTAAAGTAAAGGTTATTTAAAATTTTTAGCTAACTTGCACATATTAATATCTATGGATGTATTCCTATGCTAGGAATACACCGTAACCCTCAATATAAAAAAAAAATACATATTTAATTCATTAGTATCTTCCAGATGCATGACAATTTTTAAACATCTTTTTGGGTAAGTGGATTAGACCATTACTTGTCCACTTCATTCACCTGATTATTGTCATATGACCACTATTTTACTAAAATCATGTCTAAACAAATATCTACGCATGAAAATCACATTCACTGTGGGATCACAGAAGCACAATGTGCCATAAAACATGGTGGTTACGAGTCATGCCAGTTAGAAACACAAACATCTTCAAGTAAAACTTACAGTAATAATATGAACAGTTATAGTTACATATACAGGAAGACCCAACTTAACGCTGTTTCGGTTTAGCGCTCTTTTATTTCAACCCGGGGATTCCACGAGATCGCTCGCAACATACGGGGATTCCCCGAAATATTATGCAGCGGTAGGTTTCAAATACATATCCGGAAGAGTGTACTTGTATTTCTTGTTTGGTGCGGTATTGTACGGACATATTTTGAAGGGGTAAATGTGGAAGATGTCGAAGAAATAATTCAAGAAGCAGCGGCTAGTCTTTCTAATGATGAGCTCAAGGAATTAACTGAACAAGAAGAAAACAAAAATGTTGACAGCAGTGATTCAGAAGAAGAGCAAAAAGAACTTTCGATGGCGTTTGTAAAAGGAGTTTGTCTACCATAACTGAAATAATGGATCAATTCATTGAAAATGATCCGAATTTTGACAGGAAGCTCAAAAGTAAGGCGTGGTGTTAGAGATGCTCTATCCGTTTATGAAGAACTTTTAAGAGAACAACGCGAAAGAAAAAGGCAAACAACATTAGATGCTTTTGTCACAAAAAGGCAGAACACTGAAAACGCGGAAGGCTAACTAAATATGACTGACTTAGAATTTTATTTGTTTTTTTTTTTAAGAATATTCGTTTTGTTATTTATATTTTGTTTTTATTTTTGCAAGAAATAATAATGTGGTATTAATTTGAGCTTTAAGAAATAAATGTTTGGTTTTATTTTTATTAAAAAAACATACTTTAAAATTTAATACCTAACCAATTTCCTAGCCAACTTCCCCTAACCCCAATATTTACATGTAAAGATAGCCTCGTTTAGCATTACGCTCTACTTTGATGGAACGTATCCCCCGTGTCTTACTGTACTGTAAGTTATAGTTACATATACATTATATAATGAGTTAATTGAAATAACACTGTATTATAAATCAAAATAATTTTACATTATCAATCATATAAATAACCCTTATAGTACAAAATAGTTAGCTTTCTTACCCTATAGTTTTGTAGAAAATAAATATGTGCAACAATAAATGTAAATTAGTTTGTAAACTAAAGCAAATATATATATATTAATGACTATTATCAGTTAGAAGATCAAATGCAACAATAATAATTTCTTATTGTATACAGTGTTACTGAGATTAAAAACTGAAGAATCAAATGATGCTCAAAATCGAGAAAATGTATTGAATAAAAATTGTTCACAGAGTGAACAATGCTTAGAAAATGCCAATTTTAAGTAGGAAGCTTCAGACTTACCACAGAACCACTGAGGCATTAAAGCACTTATAGTAGTGAAAAAAACGATGGCAGCCAGCACACATTTATCCTCATAGGCTTATAAATGTTCAAAACATTTGTTGGTACAATATTAGAAATGCATTTATAGCATTCTACTGGCCATTTTATATCTTCAAATAATCTGTTATTTTATATAACAACTTACTTTTATGTTAGGTCTGTGTTGTTATATCTCTTTCTTTTGTCAATCTAAGCAGGATGTAAATTTGGTAAGATTTAAATAACAAGTGAAATTATAATTTGACAATGTTTGACAATACCGTTTTTCTTGTGAACTATCTACATATAATCCAAGCTGATTTTATTGAGTGTTTTCTGGCTTTTGCTAGTGTTAATGCATAATTACACATAATTTGAAGCTATGTTGATAAACATTAATTTGGGTCTACTGTGTTCCAAGACCTCTCAAGGAGTATTTAATAAGTTGTTACATATTTAGTACAAGCCCCAGAGCTAATAAACTTTCACTATTTGTATTTCTTAAGAGTGCTAAACTTTTCTTTTTCAGTATGAGGACAATAATGCTAAGCTAGGAGTAAATTAAGGATTAGTTTGATTTAACCTTGCAGTTATAGCAATTTAAATATACAGTGCTGCTTTGCATATTAAATGTCATCTATTCCAGAAATAATTTTACTTGATTTTGAATTCCAACTCAAAACACCATAAAAATGATTTCCAAGCTTAAAAATTTCAGAATAGGTTCCATGAGTTCTTGAGCCAGAGAAGCTGCAGGATGTGCTATGGGAATGCTACTTCAAAATGCTTTATATTCTAAACTGGATTACCACAGGGTGCAGTTAATAGCCATTCCCTTTTAAACATCTACATTAATGAGCTGATTCCGTTGCTGAAAACAGTCAGTGCCTGTTGTTTGCAGACGAACTTGTTATACATGGACTCAGATAGCAAAAGCGAATGCTAAATTTGAAATTGAGAAGAAACTAAATGAAGCACTTGTGATTTTGGAGATATGGTGCAAGGAATATAATATGCATTTATTTAAATTTAGCAAAAATAGCAATACAGATTTTCTTGCTTCAATATATTGCTCCTGAGTTCTTTTATCAGGGGTTTCATTTGACAAACAGTCATAAACGTACCTACTTAGTGATTTTTGTTAAACTGAGCTAGGGGTTGCAAATAAAATCTTTAGCTAAGAGAACTGAACAAATTAAAAATTTTAAAATGTTTGAGGGAGTTATCCCCAGTCAAAACTAAACCAAATGTAATAAAGCATTCCTTTTACTGGTTCTTTGCTACTGCTGTTAGGTTTTGATCACAGCTTCAAGAAACTTTGTAAGATTGGAGATCTTACAAAATCAGGCCCTCAGCCTAATTATTGGAACTGTAAAGATGTAATGCTCCTTTTCACAAGCAACAGTCTTATTAAAGTTATTATCAAAGAGAAAGCTGTGCTGCTTTTTGAGAGATTAAGGAGAACTGGGATCCCATTTTGGAATTGTTACAGAAATGACCAAAGGAATCTCATAACCCAAGGTAATGAAACTTAGATCAGACCTTGAACTGGAAAATGAGACTTTTCTGATGCCTCGTAGACCTTTGGACTTGTTTGGGAGAAATAACAACTTAGATCTTATTCAGTAAGGGAATTTTTCCCAGAGAGTCAAAAAGTCCTCTTTTCTCAGTGTGTTCTAGCAGTCTGAACTTAATATATGAATTTTGCAGAAAATTTGGCTACTGTAACTAACTTTGCATAAAGTGGTTATCTAAAAAAAAAAAAAAAAAAACTTAGTTTTTGAGATATAAGTGAAAAACTGAAAAATGTACCAAATTTTTAAGGTTTTTATTTATTTATTTTATTTACCTTTTTTTTTTTTTTTTTTTTTTTTAAATTTTTGTTGTGAAGCTTTGCCTCAGGTGAAGTGGATGTTCGGACATAAAATTCAGATTCAATACCCTCAAAAGATACAGAACTGGCGAGAAAAAAAAATTGTACAACTTCTTCCTAAAAACACCCTTTCTGAACCTTCGATGACTGGACTACTATGTAGCTTGAAGAATTAATTTTATTTTCATGTACTAAGAATAATTAAAACAACTTAGAAATAGTGTATGAAACAGTATTTTATTAAAAAATATATTACAATACAAATTTATATTAAATTCCTGAGGATATTTTCTGTACAATAAAGGCACTATATACACTTCCTAGAAAGAAAGAAAAATAAAAGTTAGTGATTAACTTATCACCTAAATTAAATGTGTTATTTGAACATATATACATTTTACTGCTAAAACTAATACCATAAATTTGTTTAATTACTGAAACTGTTAATGTTTAAGAAATTATAGAAAGTTGAGGAGGGTTTTGTTTTAACCGACAATAGAGAAAAAAGTGGTACTTAAGTATTATCGCAACCAGGTTGGCGCGATTTGTAAGTTTGAGTAAAAAAGTATGAATAGAAAGAAAATGTACATTTATTAATTACAGATAATTTTTAATACATTTTTTATATTATTTTGTTTTAAAATATAAAATAGCAATTAAACTCTTCCGGTTTCGAATTTGAATAAGTTGCAAAATTATTTTTTCGGCGAAAATCTTTTGGCTATTGCTTTTAGCACTGATTGAAAACCGTCTTTGCCATTAACAGCTTGAGCTTGGTGCCATATAAATTCGATAAGATACGAGTCAAGATGATGACTGGCTGTTCTTCTCTGTTTTTTTGTTGCGCCATTTGGCTGAGCCTCAATTGCGCTCTACATGTTGTGTGTGAACACCCGTGTTGGGATCCACAAAGTTATATTTGTGATTAACAGTTCCATGCAGAAATCCAGCATTTTCCAACTCACTTGTATTGTATCCTTTCCAGCAATCCGAATAAATGATGTTTCCTTCCTTGATATTTTCGCAAATTTTTTCCATGAGGGTAACGGTGCTTCTGTTAGGTACAGTAACCAAAAAAGTCTCTTTCTTTTCTCGGGAAATTCCGCTGAAAACCCATTGCTGTGGTAGTACACGCCCAGTGTTATTTTTTCTTTTTACAAATGAACTTTTGTCTATTTTCACAATAAGTCCTTCGCCGCCTATTTGCTTTCTTTCTTTTTCATCCATTTCAAGGGCACATATCTCCCGCATGTAATTATTCCAATCTATAACAGTTTTGTCAGCAATTCCCATCTCTTCTGCACAAAATTTAATTGACTCTTTACACCAATAATATTAATAGATATAATATAATTTTTAATTATATATAAAATTAATATAATTTTAATAGGTTAACTCTTTACACCAACAATAAATGAAGCGCACCGCTGTCACAAATGAAATTCGGCTACCTTCAAACCAATTTCCGGTTCTCACACCCAAATGTTGATTGCGCTCTTCGACATTACATTTCCAGAAGATTTGCTTTCCAAAATACAGTTTCATTTTATGAGAATTTTTACAAGTACGTTCGTTCGGTATAATTCCATATCCCTGCAACAATTCAACAGCATCCTTTTTCACTCGCAGGGCAGATCCTAAATACCCATAGTTAAAGTCATTTCAGAGCATTCAATCTAACCAGTAAGAAGAATAATTTCTTTACGAAAAACTACGTATAACACGTAGGGTTGCCGTAAGTAGGGTCGCCAAATTTGGCAATTTATGCGAATTTTGGCCTGGTTGTGTTAATACGTAAGTACCAAAAAAGTTAAAGGAATATCACTGTCTCAAAATATATTCCAGACTTTTATGTAAAATTATAATTTCAAAAAATATATCATGAAAATATATTTGTAGCTTATAAAGACACACCAATTTTTCATAAAAATATTTTTAAAAAAGGACCAGCAAAGTTTTCATTACAGTACATTTTCAGGAGTCACATGACCTTTCTTAAAAAAGCAATCTGAGTTTGAGCATCATTCCAGTCAAGTAAGTCACAGGTAAGATAAAAAAAATGGAAAATTTTTTGTGGTGGTCCTAAGAACAACTTATGGACCAAGGAATTATTGTGATAGTCATACAGAATTACGATCCCATGGTGTTAAGTAGATTCAATGAAAAAAAAAAAAAAAAAATCTCTTGCACATCTCTTCAGGCCATGAACTTTTAACAAAATCTTGAAAGAAAATAATGGCTGGCCTTAATGGTGGTAAAAGTTTTTCAGACTGAGATATAAAGATACAGAAATTGTCACTTGAATATTCTGCTTGGATGGCAAGCGGTAAACCTTGTGGTTAATAACTGGATAGAAACATTCCAGAATGGCTAGAGTATGATCACACCTTGCCTAGAATTAAAACCTTCATAGATGAAAAAATTGTGAACTGCACAATAGGGGCAAAAGGAATCAAGTGTCAATGAGAGAAAGGAAAGAAGCAATCAGTTGACATCAACCTCGTGTACAGTGCTATACTCTATCACCTTAAGTGCCTACTCAATTGCTTAGAAGGTAAAATGACAGTTTATTGAATGACAAGAAAACTCTTTACAAGATTAACCAATATTTCTATGCAGGTTTGAACTCAATGATATTGTTCAAGTTCTGTTATAAATATTGTTTTTGAATGCCATTTATATAAGGGGTCAAATGAAAATGAAACAGACTATATAAAGAGCATGGCGTGGAATTTCGTAACGCAGGAAATTTGTGTACAGAAGTGCCTTCTACTGGGAATCAGGAAGGAACAATGCGAATGCTCACCTCTGTGTCATTTGTCTGTTAAACATGCTCGAAGTGAGGTCAGCAAATACTGTGTGAGCCTGTCATCACTATGGAGGCTGGAAAGAGGAACAACGTGCTGTAATGCATTTTTGATTGCAGAAGGAATGTCAGGAAGTGGAATTCATGCCCAAATGTCTGCTGCATATGACGAATACAGTATGTCCTGTATGCATGTGTTTGAATGGAATAAACAATACTGAGAAAGTCGGCTGTCATTGAAAGACAACAGTCGGCCAGGACAAGTTCATCGTGTCATTGCTGCAATGGATACTGCTGTCAGAGAAGAACAACGGCTGACAGTGGAAGACATTCGGCTCATGTTGGGCATTAGTCAAGCTATCTTGACAGAGTATCTGAAGTTGCATAAATCTGTGTGCAGTGGGTTCCCACCTGGAATTGTATCATGGAAAATATTACTTCCTGTCCCATATTGTTGCAAGCAATGAAGCATTTGAGCCAGAAAGTAAGCATTAGAGTCAACAATAGATGCATAAAGGTTCACCCCCACCGAAAAAATACAAAGCCGTGCATGGCAGCTCTGGTAAAGTCATGGTGATCTTTTTCTTTGACTGAAAGGGTCTGCTGCTCATTGATTTTTCTGGAAAACATCACCACAATTAATGCACAGCAGTATGTGGAAACTGTACAAAAATTTAGTATTTGCATTTGTCACAGCAAATGCCCAGAAATGTTGACGGGTGGCATCAATTTTTGCAAGATAATGCTTGCCCATATATTGCCACAGTTGGTAGGATATACTGTAAAAGTTTTGTTGGGGAGCACTTACCCAACTTCGTATAGAGTGCAGATCTCTCCCCTTGTGTTTTCCATATTTTTGGAGCCCCGGAGAAAGATATTTGTGGCTGTCGATTTGCTTCGAGCGAAGAGGTGCATGCCTGGGTACTATCATGGTTCCGTAAGCAACCAAAACATTCTTCCATTATTGACCATCTTGTCTCACAGTGGGATAAATGTATTAAAAGTTATGGTGATTGTTTTTGAAATAAAAAAACAGTTTAATTACTTTTTTCCCATCTGCCTTGTTTTCGTTTGATGACCCCTTTGTTTTTTCACTTCTAATCATGTTGTTTATTCTCCCATTATTACGGCCTGTTATTTCTGCTTTGCATGCTGATTTAATTTACTTAACTACATGAACTTTTCTCCAGATTAAATTACCTAAAAATAGTGGTAAATTCTTAATAGTATTTTCTTATTTTTTTATACTGGTTATTACACTTTCTTGTGTTTTTTAACCATGGATTATCCCTGATTTTGAATTAACCATGCATACCATTCCCATTATTACCTTGATTAATGAAAAGTCTACTGTATTGATTCTAGTTTGCATCTAATGTGCAGAAAAGAAGAATATTAAGTTTCTACAAAAAATTGTAATCAAATTCCGATTTCTACAAATAATTAATATCCTTCATTAGCTAATTACACATAATTGATGAAATTGTTCACAATTTGCAGGATCAAAGAAAAATAATTGTGTAAAAATGCCTATTATCATTTCATGTAGCACTAATAAAAACAATAGAAATAATTTTCAATTTCCAAGCAAGATCCATATTTAAAATTTTACAAAAATATCTGTTAAGATAATGAAAAAAATATCTTGAAACCAATGGATATAAAATAAATTTCTGAGAAGCCCATCTGGTGATAATGCTTATTTATTTTTATAACTGTTCCCAGGTAAGACAAATACTATTACAGAGCTTTTAAGTTTGACTACTGAATGTTACAGTATATTAAATACATAGCACACTTTTTTTTTTTTTGAAAAAATTATAAAATACCTTTTCTCTTATGAAAACATACATAAATTATTGCAGTTTGTTCCTTTAAACAGAACAAACAGCTTTTAGTTAATAAAAATAATGCCATTAAACAATTAAAAAATTCCGATGTGTACACCACATGACTTCCTGGTACGGAATATTAAATTACACACAATTTTTCTTGAATTTCATTTAAACTTATTGAATTGAATTAAACCTTCTTCCGCATAAACTACAATAGAATTAATGCATTGTCTAAAATTCACTATATTCATTTGCCATAGCGACACTCTGGCACTAGGTTCACTTAACAGCGTTACATCTCATTCATTTTATATCTTAGAGTGCATAAAAAGAAGAATTATGTAATCATTGCCAATCTAAAATGATGAACAAAAGAAATTAAAAAAAAAAAAAAAGGTTTTTCACAGACGATTCAGCGCCGCTTACCTAATGTGCATGCACTACTCGTAAACATTCTCCTCTGTCTGAGACAGACTGGCGGCAATATTTGCTGCTAATACAAAACACTTATTTCCTCGAATTTCACTAGAGATATATTCCTCATTCAAGTAATTCAGTTTCACTTTGCAGCAAGGGAAAACTACATAAAAACTCAAAATATCTTCATTATGAAAGATATAGAAAAACATAAAACAACAAATAACAATTAAAAAAATTTTTTTACAATTAAAATTGCAGTTCCTTTGCAAGCAATTAGGCCAGCAGGCAAGAAGGCAGATTTTTCAGTGCACAAAACTTAAAGTTTCCTTTTGGTCCCACTCAGGAAAAAGAAACTGAAGGTGCAGAAACTAAATTAATTCACTATTCTGAAAAGTTTCAAATGTAAACAAATATGGCTGCTATGGTAAAAAAATTAGGCTTAGTCGCATTTGAACAACTCTTAAACTGTTCATAATTCTACAACTATTGCATGCAGATTAACTAAATGCATAAAACCGAAAGATAAGAACAATATAATTCAACAATTTTTAATGCAAACAATGTGCAATTTACCAGCATACAAGAATAAAAAACTGAGCTCAAGGAGACGAGTAACAGTGTGTGTGTGTATATATATATATATATATATATATATACTTTTGGTGCGGACGATTGCAACTGAAAAGAGTGGTGCACAACTTCATGTTATAGCAGTTCTATATACAAAATGAACGTTTTAAAGCTACTCATGTTCGAGTTATGTATGTATCGTACAGACGCCACGAAAAAATCTCTTCTGAATCCATTTCAAAAGAGTTTCATAATTCATTTGAAACAAAAAAATAAAAAAAAGAGTCCTTTATTCCTTTATAAAAAGAGTCTTTCCTCATGTACAGATGTCATGCAAAAACATCATTAAATTGCATTCAATAGCAGTCAACATGGATATTTTTGTTGAAATATGACACCCTGAATTTTTTGTGATTACAATATTTCCTTTACTTCATACAAGGAAATAAAAAGTAAGAGTTCTTATTTCCTTATTCTTTTAGTTTACTTACGAATTCCAAATATTTTAACTATTTATAGTTACTTATCATCGCAACATAAAAAGTCAGATGATTATATAATAATTAAGAGTTTAAGATATTGCAAACAAAATACATATAATTTAAAAATATATTCAAATAAACTGCAGTGCATTAAATTTGAAGGGAAAAATCATAAAATTTGTTTTAACATTTCAAAATACTGCATAGTCAGCTTTACAGAAATATTACAATTCAAAATCTTGCTGAAAAATGTTACAAAATTATTTGTTTTCGCCTCTGCATTCAAAGCCTTGCACATTAATTATATGGTTACACATGTATGAAAACAAAATTATAATTTTACAGCTGTTGCATTAGTGTATAAAAGCCTTTTTACTTCCTTGTATGAAGTAAAGTAAGTACTATAATTGCAAGATTTCAACGAGAATATCCGGTTAAAAAAAATTTTTTTTTTTCTTTTTTTTTTTTTTGCATAATGTCTGCATGTATGGAAAATATAAAGGACTCTTCATTCTAACACAGATTGTAAAATGCATTTTTTTATGATGCTTGTACGTAAGTATCTGAACTCAAAAGCAAACAACAATAAATATGGGACTGCCAAAACATATAGTTGTGCACCTTCCCTTTTTTATTGCAAATGGCAGTACCCAAAGTATATATATAACACACACACCCCATACCCAGCCTTTATTTTTGCACTGTTGGCCACAGACACAAACCTCCAATTATGGAAGCATTTTAAAATGATGAAAATATTCATGTTTTGGCAATTTCAAATGAAAAAAAATTATTTTGGACAAATAACGAAATCTAATTTTTAATATGATCTCCTGGTTTTCACAGTTATGTTTGGGAAACTTTTATACTCACAATGATAAAATAAAAACATGAGAAGTTTAACTCCTGTATGGTAAAAATTTACTGGGATACTTAGTTTCGAAATTTGCAATTTTTGATGTCATCTTTAACTTGCCTTAAGGGATGAGTTAATTAAGTTAGAAAAATTCGAGCAGATAAGTTTAAATGAAATGCAGAAAAAATGTGTATAATTTAATAGGCGTATAAGAAAGTTCTGTCATGTTGTCATTAGATTTTTTTATTCTTAATGCTTCTTAAATCTTTATTCACTTACTACATCTAATTTATAAAATTTAACTACACACAAAGTTTTATTCCAATACAACCTTGAGAAATAAAATTTAATAAATACCTTTTGTCACTATAAAGAACTCTTCAACAGTGATATATAATTAAGCACCAGTTTCTTAATTTTTTCTGGATTTATAATCTTTCCACAATTCATAAATACCTGTAAAAATTATTTATATATGAAATAATATCATTAAAGTTTTTTTAAACTAAAATACATAATTTTTAAATATCCTCCCATTTTAATAATGCTGTAGGTTATATTAAATTATTGCTGTCTTAAAATACATTTTGCACTTTTAGCATGAAGAATGCAATGGTGTAATTATGAATTTCCTTGAAGTTAGCTATAAAACAATGATATGAAAATCATTCTCTAATGAGAAATTGCCATTTAATTATCTAATATAAAAATATATTGTTATGCTTTCTGAACTCCACTACACAGAAGAACTATACCTCAGTTACATAAGGTTCTAATATAACTAGGTTTAAACATACAAGTATTAATACAGTATTTTTCATAACAGCTTAATTGTGAATACTGTAACAAAAAAATAGAAATTTCACAGAAGTTTTCCATACAGATGTCTCAAATGCTACACAGATGGAATTTTTGCATTGTACATAATATGGAGATACAAAAGTTTCTGAAAACAGAACATATAGTAAAAACCATTTTGTAGAGACCATTAGGTATTTTGAGCAGGTAAAATCAGCTATGCTCCTACCAGTATTCAAACCATGGATCTTACATTAAACTGCAGCTAAGAATACAATTTCATTTAAATATCATATTATACTTATTGCACAATGTTAAATTTCCTAATGGCAGTGGTAGCTAATTCTGTACCCTTGAGGACCAATTTAAATTGCATTTAAGTATGAAGGTCCTTCAGTATGTTAACTTCGCAAATATTCAGGAATACATCCTGGAATAAAAATAATTGCTTATTTCATGATTCTTGCAATAGAAATTGCAAATAAAGGCTTCAAAGATATTAATTTCAAATCTTATGATTCAAAATATATACAAATATACAGATATCTAGAAATTAGCAAAAAATAAAATTTCATTTACTGGTCATGGGCCACCACAAGCTATCAGTTGGCTTTCACTGCTCTAAGCTAAAAATAGGCTTAAAGGTGATAATATAAACCCTAAAATGCCACATTTTCTATTATTATAATTTCCAATCACAAACAACTGTGGCCTTTCATTTTAGAACTGTTTATTATTACTGTTATTTTAGAATTAAAAAAATACTGTTTATTCTTAACAATTTATCTTTCAGAATAAACGATTCTTTCTCATTATCTGCATCCCCCACTGAAAAGCTGCAAAAAAGAATTTATGAGGCAGTGCTTCATGTCACCAGAAAGCATTTATGTGGAAAGTGGTTGCATCCTTTCAGATAGCTTCCTACTTTTCTGGATGCTTCATCCAGCGTGACAGCAGATTATGATCCCTCCTATCGGAATTTCAGCACTTTAATTATTAGAGTGGAGCGCTGCAATTTTCATAGCCTTCAGCGAAATATCAGGCTTAACACTTTCTAGCAAGCAGCATTACGTGTGTAAAAACATTGAATAATTCTTTTTTCATTCTCATTTTATGATTTTGGTGCTGAGGTTCTGCACAATGGCATGTCTGTGCAATTTTCTGATTTTTTTCAAGTGAAAACAGATCACGGTTTACATTGGGAAAACAATAGTGCAAAAAGCCAAGAAGTGTACATGCCTGTACAGAAGAATATAAACAAATAGTAAGCACTAAATGCATCACCAAAATACAGGGGCTTCACAAAAATATGGAAATACCTTTTAAAATGCTTGTTTGTTCTTGCAAAACCTGGTGGTGCCACTGATGTGTTTGCTCACTTATCACCTGTACAACATCCTCAATATGTTGCAATTGTCACTTCGTTATCAAGACAGTGTTCTGTGCAGTTGTGAGTATATCGTGTCTGAGCTAAATCAATTCAAATGTAGGCAAATTGTTAGGGCTCATATGGTGGGTGCTTCCATAACTAAAGCAGCTAAAGTGTAAATCAAAATCGTAAAAACAACCTTGTATTTAGCGTAAGTATAATGAAACACTCAATCGATTTCAAGCTAAAGTGTTTTGTGTTTCAAAGAAGCACAGTATCTAAGATTTTTAATTCATACAGGAAAACCAGAAAAACTGCTTCTGCTAAATCACAGCATGGACAAAAATGTGTATTGAGTGATCATGACAGACGATCACTGAAGAGGACTATGATGAAAAATAATATGACTACAGCCACAAAGTGACTGCTAAACTGAATGTCACACTCGCAAACCCTGTCAGCACCAAAATAATACAAACGGAGCTCCACAAGCAGGGTATGTTTGGGCAATCTGCAATTAAAACCCCACTCATCACTGATCAAAATGTCTGTAAGAGGAGAAAGTCATACTAAAGTAATAAAACATGGACTGTAAAACAATGGAAGACTGCCATGATGAGTTTTACTTCAGACTGTTTCTGACTTCTGAGTAAGTTTATGTCTGGCGTATGCCTTCCCGAGTGTATGATAAGAAACTGCTTGCTGCCGAAAGTGAAACATAGCAGGGGTTCGGTCATGGTTTGGGCAGCCATATTGTGATATTCCACAGGACCCATCATTACTATGCAAAGTCATGTTACTGTCAAGGCTTGTGTGACCATTCTGGCTGATCACGTCTGTCCCATGACAGAAATTTTGTTCCCCAATGGTGATGTAATATTCCAAGACAACAGAGCTCTGGCTGGTCTAGAAAACATCATCCAAGACTACAAGACTAGTTTTATGAGCATGAGGATGAGCTTTCACATCTACCCCAGATATCAATATCATTGAGCCAGAATAGTCCCCAGATATCAATATTATTGAGCCTTTGTAGGCTATCTGAAGAGAAATCACATGAGCACTACCGACTATCATCATCGTTAACTGAACATGCAATCGTTTTACAGGAAGAATGATACAAGATTCCCTTGCAAAGCATACTAATGTTTCTCTCCAAATGTTAAAGTTGCTTACAAGTTTATGCATGTTTTCCAAAGTCAGCAACGAGATCACGATTTTAGTTGGACTGCATATATTAACAATAATAAGAATAATAAAGATCATATTATTGTTTGGAAAAGAAACAGTCTGAACTTTATCAATGATTCTAATTTTTACATTCCTTTAGTAAATTTTTAGAAAGTATATAATACTTCATCCTCTGTTTCATATTTTATAAAAAATTCTTTTAATTTAGGTAATTTTTTAGCTTCCATCACAAATTTTTTCTCACAATAGGAAAGAAATCCATGAATATGATTTACTACATTTCTTTTTTATTGCAAATAATGGACTTATCTTGTTTACTGCATTACCAGTTCACTTTACCCCATGGGTTAATGAATATATAGTTAAGACATATATTGTAGAATTTCATTTCACAGTTGAGTCTATTGTCAAGCTTCTCTATGAAAGTAGACAGGTCTTATTCTATTGCATTTTGAAATAAAGAACTTCTTTTAAAACAACTTACCTAGATTTTATAATGTTATCTCATTCATGAATAATAGATAAAGCTTATCAAATGAAGAATACTGAGCTAAAATATGAAATTTTCCTTCTAAATCTTTTAATATTTGCATAAATTTAGTTTTACAGTTCATGTTATATGCTTGAATTATTCCCATATTTAAACAGTGTAGTTCAATGTACAAAACATAATTTTTCTTTTAACTATCTGGAACAAAGATTTTCTAACTTGAATGCGGATATCACCCCTACATCAAATGTTAAAGATAAAAGATAAACTAACTTGAATGCGGATATCATCAAATGTTAAAGATAAAATAAACTGACTCATTTTCATTAAAATTGAATTGTAAATATTGTTCTGGCAATATGTTAAGCTGGAATAAAATATTTATTAAATTTCAGTGGAATTAAATTGCAATCTGAAATTTTTTAATAATTTATAATTAAGTTTATTTTATTTATTTATAATTAGTTTAACATAAATTAAAAAGGCTGACAGATTGTTCTCACCAAAAAAGCACTCAGCAATATTCTAATAATAATATACACAATAAGCAAATAAAATTATACCTTCGGTACAGCTCTCCGCATTATATCTTTGTAATCTTCTTTGGAAATAAGACCACCACTGTAAAATGGTTTTAAAACTAATTTTATTTCAGCAGCTATCTGTTCCTTTAAAACTTGCTTTTTATCAACCTGAAAATTTAATATTTTTTATTATAAAAGCATTTCTACAAGGACATTAAAAACTGGCTTTTATCTCCTTTATGCATAATGAGTAACTGAAAGAAACCAAACTAATAAAATTTAAAAATTATTAACAAAAACTGTACTACAGTAACATCAATTGCCAAATTAACATATTTTATCAATTGATTAAAGTTAACATTCTGAATTAAAAATTAATTTTATTGAATTTTAAACACATGGAAAAATTATCTCTCTTCTGCAACAGTTTTTTTATAATATTATATATGGTTGCCTCTGACAGAAATGCAAATTTCATATCTTGATTTCATAAAATTTACAAAACTGTTGGTGAAGTCTTATGGAAGTACACATTAATCTTCTGATATTTTACTTCGCAAATTTTGGAAAGCATTTAACCATTATTGCAATTATGGCCTAAGGCATCTTCACAGATGCTTTATTAGGGTCAAGTCAGCTGGTCAATCCATTTAAGTGCAAATTTCTGTTTTTAAAGTGTTCAGGTACCAGACATGTTCAATGCAAAATATCTGAGCAACAGCATCCCTAAACAGCATTATGTGAGTTCCAAAACCACATCCACTCTGTCACCGATATGCAACTCAGGGCAGCCACTTTTGATGATTCCATCCCAAACCATGAAACCAGTTCTGTGGAAATGGACTCCTTCATGAATTAAGAAAAGCAAGTTGCATGTTTCTGGCTCCCTTAAAACATTAAGAATCATTGTTTAGGCTACATCTGAACTTGTTAGTATGCAGTAACGATTCTGTTCACTTTGGATCCAGTTAAATATTACAATATCACCACTTTAAAATGGGCATCTTTGGAAGATGAAGTGAGTTGAACTTAAATCATTAGTTTCTCACATAAATTCAAACTTCATGAAGTCTTTGTGCAGCATTAGAATGGCTGATTCAACTTCTGGAACAACCTGATAATCTAGAAACAATTTTTTTTTTTGTACTTGCTTAATGATTTCATCAAGTTGACAGTGATGAAAAACTGTCTTTGGATGCAGATATCGCTTTTGGCCATCCCTGAGGCTGTCAGATCCACTACTTAAAAAGCATTGCCAAGCTCTTGATATGACAATGAGAGATATTCAGACTATAGGAACCTCTTGTGCATTAGTGTTTACAGTAACAACAACAAAAACAATTTTAGATAAATTAATAAATGATTAATATAATTTATTTACCGATTACATTCGGAAATCTATTATTAAGTGATCTGCATAAATCAAGCAAAATCAAGGTTCAAATGGCTAACTAAACTTTTTAATAGTTTATCACTCACAACTTAAAACTAATTATGCATTATTTAGCCAACGTACAAGTGATCATAATATAATGTAGCATCTCTTATTTGAAATGGATTTTGCTCTTAGCTAGAGTTTAGGCATCTTCATCACTTAATCTCAAATTAGCAAAATCTATACATGAACATGTCTAAGAAATTCTTATCACTGTGCAAATTTTTATTTGGCTGAATCGTCTTACTACTGGAGATAAAACCCACCATCAGCTGAACAGTAAACTAATAATCCAACCTAGATCGCAATCACGGTAAATGGTACATTTAAAAGTTCTTCCCATTTTTGCCATCCTATTTGATGATGTGCTCACGGAGAGGACGCAAAGTGATCAGGAGCTTATCCTGAATTTTTCTGAAAAACATTCTAGTGAACACAGAAATTTTGAATTAAATGTATTAAAAATTGGATTTTAAATATTGCACAACATGTAAAACAATGAAATGTACATATTCACCAAATTTAGGTTCATAATTCAGTTTTGCCTGATTTATGCAGATCACTTAATAATAGATTTCCGAATGTAATCAGATATAAATTATATTAATCAATTATTATTTACCTTAGTGCCAGATAAAAGTTGCACATTGGTAAAGTGAATGCTGATATTGGCAAAATCAGAGACTCAATCTTTCAAGTTTCACTTACCATGTTACAAATACCGCTGGCATAAATTTATGAAAACATATATTTCCAACTACATAAAAACAGAGATTGTTCAACTCAAATAATTTATAGGATTAATATGTTCAATAAAATTTTGGAAAACCTGTGATTAGAAGCCATAATTTTCTCAGTAAAATAAATAAATTAATAATTTACTAATCAGTAAAAAAATTATATTAATCAATTATTAATTTACCTTAGTACCAGATAAAAGTTGCACACTGGTATAGTGAATGCTGATATTGGCAAAATCAGAGACTCAAACTTTTAAGTTTCACTTACCATGTTACAAATACCGCTGGCATAAATTTATGAAAACATTTATTTTCAATCTAAGTAAAAACAGAGATTGTTCAACTCAAATAATTCATAGGATTAATATGTTCAATAAAATTTTGGAAAACCTGAGATTACAAGCTGGAATTTTCTCTGCGGTTAAAAAAGTTCTAAATTATTTTTAGATTCAAGCTTTTTGCATATTTTAGGGGGCACATTACAGTTTCATAATATAGCTAACTGATTTTACATTTTTTGGTATATATTCTGTTTAAGGGAATAAACAAACTATTCACTTCACTTGTTCATTGACTTTTTGTGGCTTACAACTGTGCTTTTTGATTGAAATAAACTTAGAAATTGCTGCTTCCTTTATATGACATTCATATGACTTTTCACAGCAATTTATAAAATCATTCTAAGCAACAAAAAATATCCATGCTAAATTGTGCCTAAATTTTTCTACCCTTACTCAATTTTATCTAGTATTTGTAAAATCAGCAGACTGACGAAGCCCTCTAAAGGCAATTCTTGGTTTATGAAAGTATGTATATAATTTATAAATCATTCTATTATTTTATTGTCTTTTTTTTTAGCATATCTTTACAAAATTTTGCAGATATTTTCATTTCCTCAATTTACTGGAGATTGCTTGTATATGACAACCTCTAAACTTGTTCTAATATTACAACAGGGCTTAATTTCTAAAATAAGAAGCACTAGAACTCTATAGAATGCAATCAGAAGTGAGAATAAAAATCAATAAATTAAATAATAGATAAAATAATTAGATAAAAAATAAAGGGATAGAATACTAATGAATTAAGTTAATAGTAAATAAGTAAAAAACGAATTAAATAGTATAACAATGAAATGAAAATAAGCAGATAAATAATAAATTAAAATCAAAACAACTGAAATTATTAAAGGTAATTATCAGGTTTTAATGGAAGTTTCCCACCACCACAAATGCTGTTTGTGCAAACAATTCGCATTCTTGTGTTTAATTATATTTTAACGATATATACACTGCACTGTGAAATTTGTAAAAAATATCATTAAGTACAAGGTGTTTGAAATGGAACTACTATGCTAAATTCTGTTACAAAAAGTCAGTTACAGAATGTCATCAAATCATGTGTACAGCTAGGTACTAATGTTGTATCATACGATACTGTGAAGGTATGGTACCCGAGAGTTCAAAAACTAAACATATATGTAAAATTCGAATCAGAAAACTTGCCTTTAAAATAAAAGCGTAATAATAATGCCTAAAAAATAATAACAAACTGCACTACTAAATGAAAAATATCTTTTCTTCCCAGTTGATGTGATGAGGACATTATATGTAAATAGGGAAAGACTTAGCCACTCTTTCATGTTGCGGGATGGCAGGAAGGAATTTGTTTTTTCCTTTTTTGTCCTTGTAAAATACAATATTTAATTAATGATGTTGGTATTTGAACAGCATGCATAACACAAGTACATACATTTCATTTAAAAAAAAAAAAATTATGATTTTTAATAAAACTCATGATTCAATGCAAAGCTATATACTTAAAGCAGCAGAAAGGAATTTAATATACAAATGAGTTAAAAATTCCTTTTCATAACTTCACATTTATAAGCATGTGTCCATTGGGTGGTACAAACGACTTCAGATTCAGATACTAAATTGGATTGGAATACACCTGGCAGCGGTTGGGTGCAAAGACAGCTGAGACATGAAAGAGTGGCTGAGCATTAGTAACCTGGCCAAGAGTTGAAATCTAGCAAACTGGCTAGCTGTATGAGCATTTTCATAATTTTCCACAATATCATGAATATGATGAATATAAGAGAGTTTCTGTTAGAAAATCCTTCATGAAGACATCCATTTTCTTAAGCAGATAGCTGTACAAAGTTCATTTTTCAGTTTCTAACCAGTTATTTTATGCTCATTCACTATTGTATCTTTCTCATTTCAATTTTCCTGTCAGAATGTAAAAGTCTAGATTCCGTAATATTCAAATGAGGTAGAAAGAACAAACTATTTAAAGGAAAGTTTTAGAGGGTAAAATCAGAGCATGCTCTATCTGTTTGGAGGCCACATTGCTAATTTGATTCTCTTGCGAATAGTATTCTGCAACACTGAGTTATTCTTGTCAAAAGGCTTGTTACACAGACCTTACATTAGAGACAGCTCGAACGTCACTGCAACTGTACAACTTATTTTCATTAGTTTTAGTTAATCAGTTACAGCTATAGCTGCTGTCTTCTGTGAGCGTGAGTTGGTGCCGTTTGTTAACCTCTCTTTGAGTTAATAAAAGGGTCCTTTACATCCTTTCCCTGTCTCCATGGCACTTGCAAGGCATAGTGATAATTCACCACTAATCTTTATAAGAGTTCATCTACCAAAGAAGAACAAACTCTTTAGCTGTAAGCAAATAATAGCATCTTTTACCCTAACTGAATAAATGAGTAATGGACCTGAAGGCCATTATTTAAAAACCTAGCATTAAGTGCCGTCTCTTGCTAATGATCACAAAAGGTATGAACTTTCCTGATTATCTTGTGCATAAATAAAAGAGTTATAATTTTAGTTCTTATGGTAGCCGTAAAATTATATTTATGGAACATAGTAGTTAATCATTAATGCAATGTTGTTTGCCCGCTTGTTTAGTTACACAAATATGTAAATAATGAGGATCATCAATTCACCATAACGTAATTTATAACACAGGCTTGCTTTAGATAATGGAACAGCTTTCTTTAAATGAAATAGTGCATTTCTATGCTAACATACACATTTCCTGTCTGAGCAGCTGGTATTACCTCAAGAGATTAATGCTGAAATGATGCAAAAAGTAGTTTGTTTCTCTTTCTCTATTTTTATGTAATTACAGTTAGTTGTGTTGATAGTTCAAAATAACTATACACAAGATTTCTTTTCTTTCCCCAAAACATCATAAATCCTAAGTAAGTGATTAACTTTTAGTTAAATGTTTTGCAATATCTTGATTTAAGGTTACTGAAGACACTGCTATGGTGTTTTTCAAAGATGACTGGCACACATTTCAATTGATAAATACTTTACATTAGTAAAGAGAGTTTTCAAAATTACTAAATAAAATTTATAAACTTTTTATTAACTTTGATTTATACACTGACTACCAATAAGTATTTGGACGCCTGTGATAGAAAAGAAAAACTAACTTTATTCAAAATCAATAGTTGGTAGAGCCTCCACGAAAGGTAATTACAGCATGGACCCTCCGGGGTATACTTTCCACAAGTCTTTGTATGACAGCTAGTGGTATTTTCTTCCACTCGACTTGGAGAAGACAAGTTCCTTCACCGATTTTGCACGGGTAGTGCACCCCTTAATTCAGCAATGCAACTCGTCCCAGAGGTTCTCGATAAGATTCAGGTCTGGACTCTGGGCAGGCCAGTCCATTCGATGAACTCCATTGGCACCATACCAAGCCTTAGTTAACGTCGAAACATGACAACTGGCATTCTCGTCCTGAAAGTAAGAGGGGTCCAACCCGTAAAACTGCCACAATGTAGGAAGCTCACTGTCATTCAAAATACTGCAGTAGGCATCGGAGTTGAGCTTACCATGAATGGGGACCAAGGGTCCCAGCCCATACCAGGAGAAACACCCCCAGACCATAATTCCACCTCCGCCGAACTTGACTGTTGGCACAATGCATTCTGGCAGGAGACGTTCTCCAGGTAGACGCCAGACCCAGACCCTGCCATCCGAATGGTAAAGGGTGAACTTTGATTCGTCACTCCAAAGAACCCATTTCCACTAATCTACGGTCCAATTTCGATGTGCTTTGCACCACATTAACCGAGCAGCGCGGTTGGACTTTGTGATCAAAGGCAGCAGCACGACCATGAAAAACAAGCAGATGTGCTTTCTTACAGATGGTATTCATTGAAACAATACTCCCGGATGCCTGTTGAAACTCCTCGCGGATGAGGGCCATCGGTTGGGTGCGGTTCTTCCGAATTTCTCTGGACAGCACTCGTCGGTCTCTATCTCCCAGTTTCGTTGGTTTGCCGACTCGGGGCACATTCCGACAATCACCGCTTACCTTCCACTTCTTAATCACATCGGCCACTGTCGATTTTGGGTACTTCAGATCGCTAGATATGTCCCTTAAGGATCGGCCACGTTTGTGATACCCGATAATTATACCTTTCTCGAAATCAGAGAGCTCCGAACTGCGGGGCACCTTGCATGCGACTAAAGCCGATGCTGTTTCCTACACGATATATACCAGTGGAGTCAGTGACGTACCTTAGGATTGCAGATATCGTCATTTGCATAGGTGTCCATATACTTATTGGTAGTCGGTATATAAAAGGTTCTTTTTCATATATGAAAGTATTAAGGCCCGTCCACACGAGGACGCTCCCGACGTAGTTGACGTAACTTTTTTGACGGGGCGTAAATTGGCAGGACGCAGAAGACGTAAAACTGAGTACGCTCCTGTTCAGCTTTTTCGCCCGCGACGCGCACGTATAGCCAATAGCCGACCGAGTTCCGAGTTCTTATCCCATGTCATAATCAGAAAACCTTCTTGCTTACCCGTTTCAATATGGCGTCAGAGCCACAGAGAGATGAGTTTTTGCTTAGAAATATAACTGTATACAGCAATAAAATAATCAACATTGTTCACGCCATTTTCAGATTTCTCAAACCGTACATATTAGTATACATTTAAACTTCTCATTAAAGGGGAAAACTGTATACTTATAAAGCAATGATCCAACCAGTATATCCATATGCTTCACCTATTTATAACACTGTAAGTAATAGGAACCTAAATAAATAACAGTTTCTACGAAATCAAAGTTTCTGCCTTACAAAATTCTCCTTAATTATTATAAATATTGGCTATATCATGTGTAATAAAAAGCTCTATAAATATCCCAATATTAAATACACCAAAAACTAACTTCAGCAATATAATAACTTCTAAAATAAAGCAGTTGACTGTGAAAGAGTATTCAATAAAATACAATTACGAATTTTTGGAGGAAAGTTACAACTTGTGTCACACAGCAATCATTTAATTGAAGTTTAATTAAATTACCTTTGCAGCGACTTCTACTTGTTACATTATTTTTCACAAACACTGCTATCAACAGATAGCTGAGTGGTCAGCACGCTGCTTTGGTAGTGGAGGAATGGAAAGGTGGCAAGTTTGAATCTCACCCCTAGACGGTATAATTCAGTTAGCTTTTCTCATTTTGAAACGTGTTTCTTATATTTAATCATGAATCATTATATTCTTATTTTACCTATTATTATTGTTTTCATTTCTTATTTTATTCATTATTATTATTGTTTTTAATTTAGTTTAAAAATGTGCAATGCAAATAGAAATCCTTATGTAAAAATATATCTGCATCTCTTTATCATATATCATCTTTAAATTCTCTCTTTATTTTTACGTTATTGCATATTTTATCATGCACATAATTTCTCATAAACTGTCCAAAGTTTGAACCTCATTCTAAATTCAAAAATAAATAAAAAGAAAAACAAAAGACCTTATTAAGTAATTTAATTCTCTTTATATACTGTATTCCAAACCAATTTTATAAATCCTAATTTTCATACGATATAGAATCTGCAAGTCTGTCAAACTGGTCGATACTCATCCTGAAGGAATTAAAAAACAAGTTATATACACCCCCCCCAAAAAAATTAAGTGAATTCCTACTTAGGTCCACAAAGAAAATTTTAAAAATGTAAAAATAAATAAATAAAAATACAAACATAATTTTTTTTAATTAAAAAATTTTTAATACGTGAAAAAGCTGTATTAACATCAAGTGTCATTCACTGCAAGTTAAAAAAATTGTATTTGAACTTGAGTGGATGAATAAAAAGCATTTTATGTACTGAAAATTTGAACAAGATAGAGGGAGAGTGAGCTAATAGTAGGAATTTAATAATTCCAAATATTCATTTCGGAAATGAGGCAGTTAAAAAAAAATCTCTTTGAACAAGTCGCTCTAAAATCTTTCGGACCCATTCTTGCCATTTTTTGCGGTTTTGCCTCTGCTTAATAATTGCACATTATAGTAAAATTTCAGCTATAAAAAAAAATCATCTGATTCGGACAATGTGCCGCACAACATAGTAAAATTTCAGCTATAAAAAAAAATCATCTGATTCGGACAACTTGCCGCACAACATACAGAAGAACAGCGAAGTAATAAGATACAGCTCTGTTGACGCTATATTACAGTGTCACGTGATTTTTGCGCAAAATAATTCTATTGGTTAAACGCGTTTATTGGTTACTGGTTAAACGCGTTTCTATTGGTTAATTACTCGTTTGGACGCTTTTATGCTGGTAACGTAAAAGCGCGTTCGTCAGCTACGTTTCGAGCGTACTCGTGTGGACGGGCCTTTATTTAACAAGAACATTTTAGAAAATTGACATAAATTTGTTATTCATTTATTAATTCCTTCTAGAATATTTACTAGTATATATCTTTGCAATTAATTTATCATTTGATAAAATTACAATATTAATAAACCAACAACAACATATTTCTAAAAATTTTCTTTTCGGTTTTTCACTACCAGAATACAAAAGTTTTGAATAAAATAAATCCATTACGAAAAATGGGTAATTTCTACCCCTAACTGTCAGCTATTATAAGACAACCACAGAAGACCAAACTTTCTAAAAGTGTGAAAGGTCGCCTTAAAAAATGGTTAATTCTGTATTTGCATTACATATGAGTTAATTTTAAATTTCAAATTAGCATCCCTTTCTTCCACTGTCCCATTACTAGAGATGTTTAGAAAATTTGCAGATTTTAAAATGAAATAATAAAAATGGCATTCCTTTGCTTACAAAATAATCAGCTTTTTTAGCATTTCTGAACCCTGAAGTCAAAAACAAACTAAACTTTTTCAGAACAAAAACTGATACAAATAATGGGCATGCAAAAAGTGATTTTCAAGGAAAAAATTTTTCTTTATTACTTCAAGAATTTTGCTGTAGAAAAGCAAAACTAAATTTTTACATTAGGTGCACTTCAATTTTATACAATCATATATATAAATATTACTCACTTTTGGTTCAGCCTTGCGCATAATATCCTTATAATCTTTTTTAGTAATGAGACCACCAGCGTAAAATGGTTCTATAACACCTTTCACTTCAGCTATTATTTCCCCTTTTAAATCTTTATTGTAGCACTAAGAAATATTCAAACACATATTAGTTTATCCCAAATAAAATGCATATGGCAAATTTACATGACAAATGTTTTTCACGATAACTCAAAATGTGTAATAAAAAAATATACTATTTTATCATATATTCCATATATACACTCATGTCCATAAATTAAGGATAATTCGGAGTCACATGAAAAATCGAACTCTAAAATAAATATATCACCTGTAAAATCACTACACACATCTTCAAGAATCATATGCAAATTTCAGGAAGTAACCAGATGATACCGATGGTACGTCACAATGACGAGAGTGTAAGAGAGTGATATATAAGGAATACAGGCAAAGAAGTAAAATTGTATGCAGGCGCTTTATAAGCATTTCAGTGCAATAACCGAATAGCTATGACACAAAGGACACATTTGGATGATTTTTTACGTGGTAGAATTATCGACAGTCTGGAATGTGGGCATACCCAACTGGAAGTATCAGACGAACTTGGAATTGCCCAGAGTGTCATCTCCAGGCTTTGGCGATGATTCCAAGATGATGATAATGTGAGTAGACGTTACAGCACAGGTCGCCCCAGAGTTACAACACTGAATGAGGACCAGTATTTGGCAGTTACTGCCATTAAGAAACAGGCGGAGCACAGCCTCAGACCTGTCTCGTTAGCTCTCTTCAGCCACTGGTACGACAATTTCAAGGCAGACCGTGTACAGACACTTAGGGCAAATTGGTCTATATGCTCGTAGACCTGTCAGATGCGTTCCACTTACTGCAACTCACTGTCACCTGCGGTTAGCCTGGGGTAGAGAGCATGCACTGTGGACACCGCAACAGTGGGCTTGTGTGATGTTTCCCGACGAGTCCAGGTCTAGCTTGCAGTCTGATTCTCGACGGACTTTCATATGGAGAGCTCCAGGTACCTGTTACCACCAAGAAAACATCATTGAACGACACCGTTACGGATGTGCAGGAGTGCTCGTTTGGTGGGGTGGAATTATTCTGGTTCCAGAACTGACCTGCATGTTCAAATTGGAACCATGACAAGCCAAATCTATCGGAACCTCATTCTGGAACAACATGTCCACTTTTTCGGGGCGCCATGGGCGCACAATTTGTGTTCATGGATGACAACGCCCGTGCTCACCGTGCAAACATCGTAAGCGAATGCCTTCAATCGGAGGATATCACCCGTATGGACTGGCCAGCATTCTCACCGGACTTGAATCCAGTAGAGCATGTGTGGGACATACTTGGCCGACGATTTGCAGCCCGTCAACCTCCTCCTACATGTCTACCGGAACTTTGGAGAGCATTGCTTTTTGAGTGGTGTAATATCCCCCAAGATCAGATCGATAAATTTGATACTCAGCATGCCTAGGCATTGTACGGACTGTATTGCATCGTCTGGAAGACATACAATGTATTAACAATCCTACCAACCATATAATATTGGTTTTTTGTAAATAGATTTTTTTTTTTTTGTAATTTGCTCCAGGGAGAAAAAATCGCTAATTTTTTTAATAATATCAAACATATAGCATCTTTTTTTGCTCTTTACCTTTTGTTTAATAAAGAAGCTTTACAAATAAGTCAAATTTGTTTTGCTTCTAACTTTTCCTCTGCCTGATTTTGCATTATTCTTAATTTATGGACATGAGTGTATATATACATGATATTAGTAACTTTTTTCAGCAATTACAGTAATTCTGAGAATTTTATAATTATCAACAGGGTATATTAGAATTTTTTTTCAAATTACTTATTTTAATTAAAATTTGCATACAAATATTAGATTGGAGAGAACAAAAGACCTATATGATACTTTAAACTTATTTTAATGGACAATCCTTGCTAGTTAGCAAATGCCATGTACAACAGTTGATGGAGTGAAATATAGGAAACTTAATTTATCAGAGGTATTTTAAAATCTGAATTTGCTTAATAGCAATAACAAAGTTAACAGTATCATCTAATATCTTTGCAACTAAGATTTTAGAACTTTTCTGAGAAAATTCCTAGATTTTCAGGATTAATACACGATATTATAAATTAAAGCAGTCTGCATGCTTTACCTTGATTAGTGATGAATGGCTGATAATCTAATTATGAAAGTTAAACACCTGAAAAATCTGAACATATAACCTACACATATTGCAGTGAATTATGAAAGTGCAACAATGTATTAAAAAATCTGGTTGCTGAAGATCATGTTACTTTATTTGCTGAAGATCATGTTATTTTATTTTACTGACAAAGTTCATTTGTATTTAATTGATTTCATTTAAAAAATAAATTAAATATTTTTTCTTTTATAATTGTTACTTTAATGCACTTTATATAGTATACGAAACTTTTTTTTATATTATATTACTACATAAGGCTGCCAAAAAAAAAATGTAGATGAAAAAGGCAATTGATGGAAAATGATCAAGAATTACTAACATGATTCCTTCATTCTTAAAAAAAAAAAAAAAAAAAAAAAAAAAAAAAATCAGAGTAATTAATGTTGCATAGAAATTCCTGATTACTTCAACAACATAATAACAATAATGGCTCCAAAAATTTTCTAATGTCCTACAAAAATTAAATTGTCATTTTAATCTTACTTTTCTTCTTTTCTTTAAGGAGACTAAAATTAAGGAGCAAATTTCAGAAGTATTTATCATCTTTTCTTTTTAACTTCAGAGATAATTACTATAATAAAAAAATACTGTTAACTACCCTTAATCACTGCATATTCTTAACAAACAAATGACTAAGAGTTAAATTTTCAAATTTGTCAATAATATCAGAAAACAAAAACAGCAAAAGCATATGCCATTTGAAATATGAGACTCCTTGTAATTAAAACTTTTACAATTTTATAAATATATCTTTCCTTGAATCGGAAGCTATTATACAAGAATGGATGAATAATTAAAACTTTTACAATTCTATAAATATATCTTTCCTTGAATCGGAAGCTATTATACAAGAATGGATGAATACATTTCAGTGGAACAGCAAATTATTGTAAAATATACTTCACCCTACCTTTGAAAAAATTTCAGTCAAAGAAACTATTTTTATTAACAGCTTACACTAAAACATTTTGAAAATGCTTCTTGAAAAACATAAAAGTATTAAAAAAATTGCAAATAAGAAATAAAAATATTCAATAAATTCAATATTTAATCATCTTAACTATTAGGAAGTTAGAACAAACTTTGAATTATACCTCTTTTGGATCTTTAGAATGATTCTTTGAAGTTGCAGAATGTGAATTACATTTTGTACTATTACTCTTTTGCACAGGGTTCTCCTTATTAAAGTCTCTTTCTTTAAGGTCTGAAATATGATCAATTCCATTAATAGAAATTTTTTTCTGATGCAGATTTGTTGACTTTTGTAGAATTTTTGCTTTTTGTACCTCTTTGCTTTTGTGCAAATAGGTATTTGTATTTTTATGGTTGTCTGCAGTTACAGTGTGTCGATCTACTTCTTCAATTTGTGCATCATTTTCTATGCACCTTCTCTTACCTCTTTCAGAATCAAATGATGCCCTTATTCTTTCATCTGAGGAAATATTTTTTGACTTATCTTTTACATAAGAAATATCACTTTCACAATCATTTCTGGTTTTTGATGAGCTATTTGCATCACAATTGAGAGTACTAGATATTTCCGTGAACTTGCGTTTATTACTTTGAATGTTTTTCTGAATGTGTTTATCTTTATTTTTAGATTCACTTGTATAATTTTTAACACTATTTTCTGATTTCTTTATACATTTCTCACTAACTTTATTATTATTTCCCTCTTTTTGTTTGCTATTGGAGGATTCAACTTTGCCTTTTTTAGGAAAAGATATACTAGATGAATTATCCATTAATTTTCTCTTCCTCACAACTTCAGACAGAAATCCACCATCTGTTGAAACATTCCCATTTTCTTCAGAATGTTTTAATGTCGTTCTACTTTGATCATTTATTTCAGTGCATTTTTTCTTGTCATTACACAGATGATCTCTCTCAATATTAACATCTATTTCAGAATGTTTTAATGGAGTTTCACTTTTATTACTCGCTTCAGTACATTTATTCTCTTTGTCAGATGGAGGTTCCCTTTTAATATTTATATCTACTTGAGCTAGGGAAAGGCAGCCATCACTACCTGGTATCAGTCCACCTTCTTCCAAATTCTTTGAGGAAAATCTTTTCTTCCTCTTTGGCTTAATAAGTACACCAATGCATTCTACTTCTCCATCATCAGATACAATTATGTCCCCATCATCAGAAAAAACTTCCCTTTTAATGTTCGCATTTAACTGAAATTGAGAAAGAGGTCTATTACTTGTTAAAGCAAATCCATCCGCACCAGTAGTTTTTAATGAAGTTTCATTACTACTACTGCTAGTTTGATGTACACCAATACACTCTATATCATCATCATCTAAAACTTCCTTTTTAATACTAACATTACAATTAATCACAGATGATAGCACAGTACAATCCTCATCAGGTATCTCTCTTTTTATTTGCAGTGCAGTATGATTAGGGAGTTTAAAAGCTTTTAAGTCATTCATGTCCTCTGCATTTTCAATCAAAAAACCACTTCCTACATATGTTGTCTTAACAGATGTTACATTACATTGCTTAACTGCATCTTTTGCAGAAGTCTGTATTATATTGTCACTAATATTTATTGCTTGAGTAGGGGGAAGACCGTCATCATCAAGAATTTCCTGTTTTATATTAGCATTAAATACACATGTTACATTTTGCTTTGCTTGTGAAACAACATCACCTCTTCGTGAAGTATCAAGTTTACTTCCATTATCAATAATAGAATTAACAGGTGTATTACTATTTCCATGCTGAAGATAGTTAAGCTTAGAATGGATACTTTGATTAGATTTTTTGGAGGTCTCAGATGATAATTCAGAATTTATATTTTGGGTTGAAGGGAAGATTTCATCATCAGACAAATCTTCTTGCTTTATATCAGCAACAAAATATGAAGTGCCTTTTAAGTTCTTTTTCTTTTGAAAGGCATTAGAAGAAAGAGGCTGAGTATAATTATTTGAAAGATCATTCTGTGTATCATTTGACCAAGCTGAAACTTTAGCTTGTTTTTCGGTCAAAAACAATTTTTTATTTTCCTTTTGTGAGGAAGATTTTTTATTTTTATACTTCGTAGAATTCTCTTGCAATGCGTTTGGGGATTCATGTACATTCAAATCTGTTTTTGAAACATTATTATAATTTTTAGTTCCTGATTTAGGCACTTTTGAGTTTGTATCATTATTTTGAGAAGATTTTTTACTTGTAGTTTTCTTTGATTTATCATGCTGCTTAGTTTTATGCGTATCATGTGAAGAACTCTTTGAATCACATTTGTTACCATTTTGAATAGTATCCTTCACAAACAGCTTTACACTTTTATCTAAAATTTTATTTTTTGTGCACTGTTTCAAGCTTTCTTTGTGCTCAATCACTTTAGGCACATGACTATTTTTAAGTAAAGAGGCTTCATTTGTATCATTACTTTTATCATTTTCCAAATGTTTTCTGGATTTATCTTTCAAATTTAATGTAGAAAGAGAATCTTCAGTTTGCATATTTGATGCCTGATGCACATTTATTTGAGCTTCGAGAGTACAGTTGCCTGATGATACCTGTTCCTTATTGGAATTTCTTTTTACTTCATTCATATTTTTATCACATGAAGTATTTTCATTTAAATTTTCAATCTCATTTGAAAATACCTTTTTATTATTAAAGTTTTGCATTTCAGTGATAGAATCTTCAGCAGCATCTGAATGTTCAATCCTTTGAGTGGCTGGAAGTTCCTGATTTCCATCTGAGAATGAACTTAATGTTTCATTCATATGATTTTCAAGTTCAGGTAACAAAAATCCCAATCTTTTCCTATTATTTAAACCCATATTATTATTTTCTACATCAGATCTTTTGAGGAAAAAATCTTCCATTTGTGATGTATTCACACTGTTGCTGCCACACTGATTGATACCATCATTCAATTCCTTATGCTCACAGACTGAATTTTTAGACTGCTGACTCTGCAAATTGCTTTGATTTAAAACAGTTTGCTGTTTTTCTACAACCTGATAAAAAGAAAATGTATTCTTTTTAGCTGGTTTTGGAACAATGTTAGTTTTTGCAGGTACTGATAATATAACCTGAGGCAAATGTTTGTGCACTCCAACTTTTGCTAAAGGTTGTTTTTTATTTTTTGACAAAGCCAAGAGTTCATTAATTTTATCTGGTGTTAATTCTTCATTCTCAGTTCCAGATCCTGTTTTATGAGGAGGATTTTCTGTACCTAATTTATCAAGTTTGGAGTTTTGCTTTTGTAATTCAGCAGTATTAGACACCTCCACACTAAATGACTGACATCCTTCACTAGATTTATGATTAGGTTCCTCTGCTAATTCATCTGACTCAGAAGTATTAGGAACAGAAGAATTAGTCAAATGATGTTTTGATAAAATTTGAGCTACCTTGGAGATATTTAACAATGAATCATTCCCATTTTGAGTAGCAGGTAATATACATTCAGAATCAGTAGTAATACCCTTATCTGCAACATTAATAGCAGAATTAATGTTAGTATCTTTATCTAATTCACATCTACCTTGATTCGCAAAATTTTGAGTACAATCTAAATTGTTAGAGTCTTCAGAGGAAAAATGAATACTGTTTGAATTTGTATTTGATTCATTTATTAGTGCTCTTTTATCTACTTCCAAGGGTTGGGTAAAAGGAAGAATTTGAGTAGCAGGCAAATCTGCTTCACCAATGTCATCAAAAGCATTCAAAAACTCAATCCTTGCATCACTTTTAGAATTAGACACAGTAAATGCCTGTTGAGACTTATTTTTATCATTTTGATTACTTTTATCATCAGACGATGCAATCATCTGTGTATTAGGAAGTACATCGGAATTAAATAGCTGTGTTGCAGGAATTTCATTTTCATCACATGACTGATTACCACTATCTCCAGTTTTAGAATTTAAACTAGCTGAAAGTATATAATTGTTAGATGAATATTTGTTCTGAATAGGATTCTGGTATTCTTTATTAATAAAATTTCTAGTGCTTCTTAACAATTTATTAGCTGAAAGTTTTCCTATTTGTGGCAGTTTCTTGTCATTAACTATTTTCGTACCAAGAATGTTTTCTCTTACGGTCAATTTAGGAGCTTGATCACTATTCATTTTATTCAAAGATTTGATACAACTGCCATTCTTTAATTTATCGGATTTAAATTTATTATTATCATTGATAGATTCTTCCAATTGAGTTGCAGGTAATCCTTTAACAGTAGGAAAGATTTGAGTTGCAGGTAATTCTGCATCTTGGTTATCATCTGACATTATTGGAGATTCACTGGATTCAGGATCGTGTTCTTCGTTCACAGCTTGTACAACAGACTGAGTAGGAGATAGATCACAATCAGGAAACTGTAAAGTCGAAGGTAATAATCTGTTTTTATCAAACAAAGATTTATATGGACCTTTTTCAGGAATATCAGAGTCGTAATGACTATTAACATTAATGGAAGGTACATGTGAAGCAATTTCTTTATTTTCTATCAGTGTAGTAGGAAGTACTTGATTCTTAAAGTGCGACTTAATGCATAAATCTTGTAAAGTGATATTAGGTCTAGGCACATCAGATATACAATTATCAATAGGCTGTGTAGGAGGGCACTCTACATTAATATCATATATGTTTTCCACATAGTCTGGACTATTTTCAAAGTCTGAAATTGTATGTTCTAAAGAGTTTTTTCCCAAATCATATGTAACTTTGTGAACATTTCTTAAGTTAAGTTTTTTATTGGGCAATACCTTTTCCTTGATATTTTTTTCATTTTGGTACGTTTTTCTAGAAACACAATTTGGATTTCTAAAAACATCATTGCCAGAAGAAAAAAGATCTGTTTCATCATCTGATGGAAGAGGCTCTTTTTTTATAACTTTGTGTTTCTTTTCAATACTGGAAGCAGTGCTCTTGTTATTTTGATGTAAAGCAGAAATACTTTCTTTTGTAATAGATGACAGTGAATTCTGACTCACTTCAGGGATTTCAAGTAAACTGAGTGATGCTTCAAATTCAGAATCATCACTAAAATTTAAAGAACAGTCTTGGGATACGATATTTTCATCTGAAACATTAGTAATTGATCTATTAAGTAACTTTAATTTTCCACCATCATTATTTGGTTTTTCACTGTAGTTAGGTCCACTTTCATTGTCAGTTTCATCATCAGATCCTATATCTGTTTTAATAGGTTGGTTAGATGATATTTTATCGCTAGCACCAGAAGAATTATTTGAAAACTGACTGTCATTGTCCCAAACATCCATGTTAGTTTCATCATCAGATAGTATTTCCTTTTTAACAGAAGTTAGAGGTGAAATAACATTTTCATTATTAACAAGATTGGTTTCAGCAGATGTTGCAAAGGAATGACAATTAACATCTGATGCATACCGAACAGAACTATTTTTAGAAATACTGGTATTAGTTGAGGTATTTCTTTCAATGTAAATTTTATTGGAAGTACACTTATTTTTAAATAGATTTTTATTATCTTCATGCTTTGGAGAATAGCTCGATACAGGCAAAGAATCTGATACATTACAATGAGAAGCTCCTGAAGAAAAAGAACTCAAAGAAACATTATTGCTATTGTTTTCAGATTTAATTTTTTTGTTCATTACGTTAGATGTTTGAGAGATATCTTTTTTGAGACTTTTATCACCACTACATAATGAGCTTGACTTTGTAGCATCTCCTGAATGCTTTATTTTATGATGAAGTGAATCACTGGATTTAATCTTAAGAGAAGAATTTGTTTTTGTTTGAGATTCTTTTTTCAAACACGAAACAGATTTAAGTGGAATGGAACAACTTGACTTAGAATTAGATTCAGAATTTGGGAACGATGATTTATTTTTAGATTTACTACATTTATTGTCAGATATAACACCATTTTTAATTAGTGCTTTGCTCATAGGAGTCCTAGAAATAACATTTCCATCACTTTTGAGATTCCGAGAATTTGCTTTGTCCTTTGCTTGATCTTTTTTTAGTATTAATGAGCCATCTGTTTTTATTATTATATTGTCAGACTTTGAATGAAGTAGTGTTTGGCCAGCCATTATGCTATCTAAAATATTTACAGGTGCCGGAAATGATCCTGGTTCTTCTTGTCTGTCAATGTACAGAAAGAAACAAAACATGAATACTATGCATTAAATGATAAATCTATCACATAAAATATGAATAAGAATTAACACTTTCATTGAAGATCAAACACAGGTGCACGAAGCAGTGTTATTGTCTAACAGCTGTTTATCTGTCAACATGTGGTGAAGTGCAAGTTAACACTTCATTTTCACATTTCAGACTTTCTGGCAAATTTTCATATACTTACCCCAGCAGGGTGTTACTTGATCGATAGCAAATTTTGAAAGGAAAGCAAAAATGACGAAAAAAACAAAGACAACATTATATTCTTGTAAATAAAGTAAAATTTCAAGTTGAAGTAAATAATATATTTAAAACCCAAGTAAAAATTAAATTGCACAAAGTAAATTAATCAAGCATAAGTAGCAAAACCATAAGTTCAAAATTTCCCTCCAACACTTTCAAATTTCTTTTAAAAAAACATTTCATGCGTATCTGCAGCCTTTGACAAAAACAATTTTCCCAATGACATTAATAAATTGCAAACTCACTTGGCTAAATGTATATCATAGATGGAGACTGCACTGAAAAACAATCTTTTTTTGCCCCTGAAAGTGTTTTTTACTATATTTATCAAAACACTCACACTAGTTTATTTTACCATTTAGCACTATAAAATATACACAAATCTATGACAATTTTTCCTTTTTGATGTTTAATAACAGCAATATATATCTGTCATGTTTAATATTATACAAGATAATAATAATAGAGATACAGAAAGACAAATGATTTCTCTCAGAACACAGAATGTTCAATAAATGGATTATAATACTATAATGTATACTCCATTTCACTTTCTTATTATTAGCAACAGATGCCCCAACTAGTTTACTTCATTGTAAATATACATTATCTAAGATAGATAATATACATTTGACTATATGTGGTTCATTCATATGCAAATTCGACGCCTCTAAAATTTATACAGTTCAAAGATTAGTTTGGTTTATTGACATTATAGCAAAGCACACTAGGGCTATCTGCCTAAGGGAAGGGATGCCTTCATGGAGGACACATGGGAACACATGGTAAAACCAAGAAAACACCCATGCATCCTGCCCGTTCGCGGGATTCGAACCTCAGTCCGAACTACCAGTGTTCAGCGACTTAACCGCTCGGTTGCTGGTGGGCTATAGTTCAAAGATAAACTATTTTCTAAATACATTAGTTAAAACAAGTAATGTGCGATTGGAGATGTACATAAAATATATTACACTTTCGTTCATATTAATAATACTTCAAAGTACCTTTTTATACACTGCAACATAATTTACTTTTAAGGAAGATAATTTTCCTACTTAATGCACTAGGCTTTTAATATTTTTTCATAGAAATTTACAACAGAACCTAAATAATAAATAATAAATTCAGTTTTTACATATTTAATTACGCATGATGATTTAGAAATTGATAACCATGTAGATCTCAATCATCAAAAGCAATTCATGAAGAATTCAAGCCACGGTGGCAGACATAACAATTTTTATTGTTGATATCACATTTTTGATTTAAGCAGAGCCAACCTTATACAAAACCCATGACTTTACTTGAATAATAACATTGGTAACTTTCCATATTTTTTTTTAATATCGATGGAGGAAAGATATAAGCAGTGGCAGCAAACTGGCAAAACCGGCAGAAGCAATAGAAGGAATACACACTTTCCAAATGAAGGTTTAATTAAAACTGATATAGTTTTACTTCCATTTTGATTGGTATTTTTTTTTATTTTTAGTTTCAGTTCACAAAATTTAAAATTATTAACATGTGTATTATGAAAGTCATTATTAGCACAACATAAGAATCATGTGAGAAGAATTAATTTTGAAATGACACAGTTTAGAGATTATTTCAAGCAGTTTCTATTTTCAGGATGGAAAGAAGAAGTAATCAAATTCAAAAGAAGGGTCCATAAAGTTAGTACTTTATTAAACTTATTTTTTATTTACACACGCACTATTTTTCTAGTACATATTTTTATGTGAAGAAAGCTTTTTCTTAGTTTTTAACATATTCAAATAAAAAATCATATTTTTAACTGGTTTAAAATACAGCTTTTTGTATATTTGCTCATTAGAAATCAACCACTGAGAGCCATTATTCAAAGAAAATTTAAGAAGCTTTTTTTTGGCGGGGGCTAATTTAGATTTTCAGTTAATGTAATAATGTAAAAAAAGGGGGTAATGTCTCAAAACTAAGATTATACATATGTATGTAATAAAAACAATGTCAGAAGTAACTGACCAGCAGAAATTTTGATGGCATAGAAAAGGTTGATCCACAAGAAATAAGAAATTAGAGGAAAAGCCAGATTTAATATTCATTTTTTTTTTTCCCCCAGCAAACATGTTATGGCCGTAAACAAGTTGGCACATTAATTGTGCCTATTGCAGGAGGTTTACATTTTTGATAGCTTTGCAGCAAGAACGAAGCAGGAGACAGACAGAAGTACAGCTAGTCCAAAGCGTTGAAAGAAAGTGCATTATGTGGTTCTCAATGTGATTGGTTAGTTAATATTGCTGTAAAATTACTATTCACTACTTGAGTTTTAGTTCCATTTACATCACCAGAATTATGTAAGTGTCATATAACATGGATTAATCTAGAAATGACATAGTGCAGAGAGAGGTTACTATTTTTAGATTTGAGAAGGGAATTTTATGTTGTTAATTTAATCTTTTACATATTTTTTTATTTTTCTTATATATATATGAGAATAAACAGATAGACGCATACACAAACACTTTCTAATTGTGATTTAAAAAAGTAAAATTAAAGCTACCATTTTATTAATCATTTATGAATTTTATCACAATTTTTAAATAATAAAACTGAACTATGAAAAAATGTTAACATACCTACTAGTAGAAGGCCCAGCTGTATTAGTTGGTTTCACATCTTCTTCATTAAAACTAAAAGGCAGGAAAAGGTTTAAAGAAATTTGTATTTTAGATTTCAAATCATTACAAAATTTAACAGTAATGTTACACAGATGGATTAAAATAATAAAAATCATCTCTTAAAAAATGTACTACTTACTCCATTTAAATTTTTTAATAACCACCTCAGCAAACTGTTTAAAATTTCTTTTATTACTAGTTAAACTTATTTTCTTTCCCCAACTGTAGACTGTTAATATTGTAATTACTCAAAACAAGCATGTTATTTGAAGGATGACAATACTACATAACATATACTTTTTGAGTTAAAAAAAGAATAATCTAAGAAATCTATTCTAAGAAAGTTATAAATTTAAAATAATTTTCATTAAAATAAAGATTTACAGTTTAATTTAATTCCTGTATTTTAACAACATTTAGAAATTTGTGACTCAAACTTCAGTTCAAAACTGCTGTTTCACCAAATCCAATTAAAAAAATTCACTATTAGGAACTTTAGAATAGCTAAAATATATATCAGAAATGATTTCTTTATCTTAATGTAAAATAATATAAAAAAACAAATATTTCACAGAAGCTCAAATATTAATGAAATATTTGTAACTGAAAAATTATGAACACTCAAAAGCAGTCAACTTGTTTTGACAGGATTTACTCTGAGAGTAATCTATTTAATTCTAAATAAATTCTATAGAATCTATCACTATAAGTGAATAAACAGAAATATTGTTATAAAAATAAGCAAATAATTATTTAAAAAATACTATTAGAATAAAACTTGGGGATGTATATCAAAATATTGATGATAAATATGGATTTTAGGAAAAAGAAACTAATGAAAAAATTTTCAATGATCCAATTTTTAAATAAATTTCACATCATCTCATCTATATATATCTCAAGAGAAATTCCAATGAGAAAAATAGCTTATTGCAGAGGGAAAAGAACGGAAATTTCTTAAATCATGGTACAAAAACATAAATGCATCAACTACACATAAAAAGAAAAAAATAGTTTGCAGTTACTTATGTTAAAAAATAATATAAATGATTACATATGTAAATCAGGCACAAAAAATTATTTTTAAAAATAATTCTGTATTGTCCCATCTCATTCTGAGATCATTTCAATCTGAAGAAAAACAAAAACAATAACTACTTACTATAAAGAAATAATTTAACACAACTTTTCTATAGAAAACAAATTTTTGAAGCATAACTCAAGCATCATAAGTTCCTGATTTTAATAGGTTTTTTTAATATAATAATATTTACCTAAAATGGAATAGCACATGTGAATTTCAACTTATAAAGGTCAATTAAAGATTTTTATTTTTAGCACCAAGGATACTATTATTCTCAGTCCTCACTTTTTTGTCCATATCTCTTTTCAAATAAAAGTATGTGGCCAACAAATGTTATCTACACATATTATTTTTAAAGAAATAACATGGTATAAAAAAAATGTCTGGCAACACATAAACACTCTATTGGGAATTCTTAAGATAAGATGTTTAATTTTTTTTTTTTTTTTTTAAATTTTGTGGTGAATTTTATGTAGCTTAAGTGCAAAAAATTATGTTCAATAATTAAAGTTAAAAAGACCAAAAGTTGTTAATAAAAAGGGGAACAAAAAGTGCAGTCATCTTACTAAGAAAACTGGACACTGATAGGATAAACTGAGAAAAGACAGAAAAATATATAGCAACACTATCAGGAATTCTAAAAGTATGTTGCTTTTAAAAATTTTGTGATTTTACTGTTGAATTTCATATGGCATAATTGCAAAGAAAGCAATGTTAAAATAATCAAGACAAAAAAAAAGTTGTACTAGCAGGAGTGAGTCCAAGAGCAGATTGGTAAACTGTGAGCTCAGAAAGACCACAAAATATTTGCAAACCATCTGGTGAAATGTTAAAATCCAAATCTTTTCAGATTTTTTCCCCTTAATTTTCTTCTTTTCTTTATTTAATTGGAATTTCTGCCATAATATTTTCAAAGCAAATTTTATGGTACACAATAAACACTTTATGACCTTGAAATAAACATATTGGACTTCAAAACTAAATTTGAGTAATAAATGTAAATTTAAATGTAAAATTGAATGTAAATTTCAATTATAAATTATTAAATAAAAATTATTTATAATAAGTAAATAAACAGATAAATAATTTTAAAGGATTTAAGTAAAATTAATGTACTTTTCACTGAAGTTCATCAACTGATCTCTTTCACCAAAAAGAAAATAAGAAGGTTGTCTATCGGACCATGCAGACTGTCGAGAAACAGAACTTTGTTTTACTCTAGGTATAGACAACCCAGCAGGAGGTTTACAAATTCCAAGACGATCAGCAATTCTTTGCTTTACAGATGGAACAGGAAGAGATTTTGAAGAGGAGAGAGATTTTCTTGATACCTTAAAAGAATCCAATGCACAAAATATATATAATACTATTTAAAGAATAAAATAACATTTAAATTATGAATTATTTATAAATAAAATAAAGAATAAAATACACAATGCAAATGCTACATTAAAATGTAATTTTGAGTTAAATATCAGTTTTTTAAAAGAAATGTAGAAAAATGCCCCCAAAATGAATTGAATTTCAAAGCAAATTTATTTGCATAAAATAATACCTAATAACCACACTGTATATATGTAATTAACTATAATATGCAACTGTAAGTGTCAATCTTTTTATTATATGAGTTATATCAGTACAGTATATGCCTTGGTTTCACAGTCACAGTAAGTGGTGAAATCAATGCCCAAAGAATTACTAATCAATTGTCTTTAGGTAAAATATATATAAACATAAATGAAATGCAGCGAAAAAGACACATATGCATAAGGGGGTGAGTGAGTGAGTGAGTGATTATGGCGCAAAAACCAGAGATGATTATGACGTGCCAAACAAAAGATGAGATGATTACAATTGATGACATTAAAATTCAATAAATAAAAAACAAGTAGATAAATGTACCAAATCCAAAGGATGAAGTCATATAAACACAAGTTAAAAGCACATATTAAAACTCAAGACACAGTCTTCAAAACAAATTACATTTGGTAATAAAAGCCAATCTCTTTTAAATAATAAATAAATTAGAATTGACCTCTCTTCCGATTAAACGGTCGAGAGGTAAGTCACAGCTATTAAAATATTTCTGGCGAAGACTATTAAAACATGGACACTCAATTAAAATATGACGAACAGATAAACAAACATTACAATTAAAACAAACAGGCTCATTTTCAGCTTTGAAAGATAGTTATGTGTGACTCTAGTGTGACCAATTCTGAGGCGAGTCAAAAGAACTTCCTCCTTACGATTTCCAGCAAAATCCCAATGCTCAATTCTAGGCTTGACGTTTCTCAACTTGTTGTGATGCTGAACATCCCAAATTGCTGCTGCCATTTTTTTCGGACCTTTCCCTTTGATGACACAGCAGATATCTCTAAAAGGGATAAGGCGACTGGACAGTTCAACAGCAGATTTGGCTGCGATGATATCTGCAAGCTCATTTCCCTTTATTCCAGCATGTCATGTCCAGGAACCCAGCAGTACAGGACTTCATAACCTCGAATCGTTAAATTTATATGAATTTTGAGAACATCCACTACCACAGGATTCTGAGTGTTGGGAAAAGCTTCCAAGGATTTAAGAGCACTATACGAGTCTGTATAAACTATGAACTTTTTGTGGCAGAGCTTTGAGATGTACAAAAGACCATAATATATTGCAGTTTAGTTCAGATGTTAGGACTGAGAAAGCATGGTGCAGGCATCTGCCCTCTATGTAATTTTCAAATACAAAAGCCATCCCGACACATGATCATTTGACTTTGATCCATCTGTGTATATCGGATAATAACTGCTATATTTGTGCCTGTGCTCAGCAAAGAGTTGTCTGTAAACGATCTCGTTAGTGCTTGCCTTCACGTGATGTTTGAAAAACATCAAGAAGCTGAATCCGTGAATTTTCCCAAGGTGGGATTTCAAAATTCTGTACTGCTTGGGGGCGCATATCAGAGAGGGAAAGTTCCTCAATGATGGGGCGAACTCTTAAAGGAAAGGTAGGAACACAAGGATGGACGTGTTTCAAATAAAGTGTTACACTCATTATCAAGTAAGCACAGCTTATTGGGATGTTCAGGTTGGGATAAGATATTAAAATATTGCAAAAGGGACAATTGCTCACGCCTCAGATAAAGTGATGGTTCGTTACAGTCAACATACAGGCTCTGGACAGGAGAAGTCCTGAAAGCTCCTGAACAAATCCGCAAACCTTGATGGTGAACAGGATCCAGTTTTAACAAAACAGATGACCGAGCGGATCCATAAACAACTGAGCCATAGTCCAGTCTAGAGCGGATAAGCGCTCTGTAAATGCGAAGCATGGAGCAACGCTCTGCACCCCAGGAGGTGTTCGCCAACACTTTTAAAATATTTAGTGTTTTTAGACACTTCTTTCTCAGGTTTAAAACATGAGAAAGGAAAGTCAATTTCTGGTCGAACGTCACTCCTAAAAATTTTACTTCGGGCGCAACTGGAATAATTGTACCATTTAGATATAACTCAGGTTCAGGATGGAGACCTCGCTTCCTACAAAAGTGCACGCACACAGTTTTCTGTTTCGAAAAAGTAAATCCCTGTTTGTCTGACCATTCTTGGATCTTATTCAGAGCCATCTGCAATTGCCTCTCTATGTATCTCATGTCTGCTCCTCGACAGCTAATCTGTAAATCATCTAACATATAGTGATCCCAAGATGGTGGAGGAAGTTCTTTTAATACAGAATTTATTTTTAAACTGAACAGCGTTACACTAAGCACACAGCCTTGAGGCACACCCTCTTCCTGTTGAAAAACATCCGAAAAAACAGAGCCAATCCTTACTTGAAAAGTTCTAGCGTTCAAGAAATTCTGAATGAAAATTGGTAGGTTGCCGCGCAAGCCACTCTCGTGAAGATCCCGGAGTATATACCGTATCTCCATGCCTTATCATAAGCTTTCTCAATGTCGAAGAATATTGAGACAAGGTGACTTCTTCTTACAAAGCTTTTCGAATAGATGTCTCTAAGAGGAGCATGTTATCTACGGTTGTTCTTCCCCTTTCGAAAACCACTCTTGATAAGGCGATATAATATTATTCTTTTCCAAGAAGTAGACTAGGCGGCTGTTTACCATCTTTTCAAACAGTTTGCAAACACAACTGGTAAGGGCAATTGGCCGATAGTTCGAGGGATTCCTCGGGTCTTTCCCTGGCTTCGCAATAGGAATGACAACAGCTCTCCTCCATGCACTGGGAAATGTACGCTCCTTCCACACTCTATTGTAAAGTGTGAGAAGGGCACTCAGTGACTTATAGGACAGATGCTTTAGCATTTCATAATACACGCCATCCAGACCCGGACAAGACCTATGTGTCTGCAACAAAGCTCTCTTTAACTTCAACCATAGTAAAGTCTCTATTATAAGGCTCAAAGTTGGAAGAGTTGAAAGCGATGGGATTTTTCTCAGAGCGTTGCTTGATAGAAAGAAATGCAGGTGAGTAATTTCGGCTGGAAGAAACGGCAGCAAATGTCTCACCAATTGTATTTGCAATTTCTTCTATGGAGCTAATCACTCGGCCATCTTTTTCCAGAAAGGAAAGTGAGTGGTCTTTATATATTCCGCATGCTTTTCGAACTCTTTCCCAAACCCGCTTACTAGGCGTAGAGGATGTTATTGAGGACACATATGAAATCCAGGAATCCCTCTGGCTCTGCCTTCTTACTTTTCGTGCATTTGCTTTGGCTCTTTTAAAAGCTATGAGGTTTCGCAGAGTAGGATATCTACGAAAAATACCCCATGCTTTTTTCTGTTTTTTCAGTGCTTCATGACAGTCGCGATTCCACCATGGTTTCGAATATTTTAGTATTTTTCCTGATGTTCTAGGAATGGAGAAGCATAGCTGCCTGAATAATAGTATTAGTAACAGCTTCAACAGCATCATCAATATGCACATCTTCTACCATTTCATCTGTCAGCTCTGCAACGGAAGAGAAGAGTTCCCAGTCTGCCCTGTCCAGAATAAACCGAGGGACTCTCGACATGGGGTTTGCTCCTCTTCGTGCAAGAGACACAAAAATGGGATAATGATCGCTGTTGTACAGGTCATTTCCGACACTAAAAGTGCAAAATGGCAACAGAGATGGTGAACAGATGGCAAGATCGAGAGCGTGGAATGTCCTTGAAGGCTCATGGAAGTAAGTATCTTGCCCATTATTTAGGAGACAAAGGCTATGATCTTCGATCATCTGCTCAATTTGTCTTCCTCGGCAATTTGTATCTTTACTACCCCAGAGTGGACTATGGCCGTTAAAATCTCCTATTATGATAAAGGCTCAGGCAGCTGCTCTATTAGATTATTTAAATCTTGCTGATCAAATGTGCTCATTTGGAGGCAAATACAAGAGAAACGAAATGAAACAACAATATCAAAATTTATTTGAGTAGCGACAACTTGGAGGGATGTCGTCAAAGGAAAGTACATTTGAGGGATAATCCAGTGAGGTGAGGAGACCTACACCTCCACTGGCACGCTCACCTGCAAGGTTATCCTTCCTGACGAAAGAAAACCTCCGAAGTTTTGCATGTTGTTCTGGTTTCAGATTTGTTTCCTGTATTGCGAAGCACACAGGATGATAAGCATTTATTATAGATTTGATGTCAAGCAAATTTCGGTGGAAACCGCGACAGTTCCATGAGACGAGGGTGGCCATTATGAATGGTTTTTGTTTTTCTGTGTTCCTTTTTGTTTTTCGTGGAAGTAGATGCTGGGAACTTCCAGACCCTCCTTCCACTTCCATACCGTCTGAATCCGCAGATTCAGAAATCATGTCATCACAGATTGCTGGACTTCTATTTTTGGATACTATTTTGTGGAAGTTTTGGCAGTTTTTGGTTTGCTCGGATTGTTACTTTCTTTATTTTGTATAATGGGTTGCATTTTCTTTTTGTTGTTTGCAGGCTGCTTGGGTTTTATTTGGTGGAGTCTGTGTGCTTATGGATGTTTGGGTGGCACTGTACGAGTTGATTTAACGAGCACTGGCATATGATTTGTTTGATTGAGGCTGTGTGCTTTGAACTAGTCTTCTGGCTTCGGCATATGAGATGTTCCTAGTAACTTTTATGGTCTGCACTTCTTTTTCCAATTTCCATTTTGGGACAGGAGCGAGAAAATGCTGGGTGGTCACCCTTGCAATTTATACACAAGGCGCAGCGGTACAATTTCATTAATCGCTATCGTGGCCAATCTGTGAGCATCGGGCGCATGTGAGGCTGCCACGACAAGACGTCTTAGAATGGCCGAAACGCTGGCATTGGAAGCATCGCATAGGGTTTGGAATATAAGGTCTTACAGGACAA